CGTTTAACACAATATTTCCTACCTTTTTATTGGCTTTAGGTTGCCCAAAAGGTTTTTTAGGAGTCTTATAATTGTTTGTTCATTAGTTTGTTTCATGTCAAAGCCACTTTCACTATATATGGGAGAATGAGTTCATATAATTAGTCTATCATGTTACGGAAAGAGTCAATATTTATTACTAAAAACTAATTCAATCTGCTTTAGGAAAATCATTCAGATTGTATCCGGATTAATAAGTAAATCTTCATCTTTGGTCATAAAAATACAGAATTTTATCAGCATATTAAATCTTTTTTTTTTATTTGATAAAAATATCTGATTCTCTAGAAAGCAGTAAGATTCTTACTTCGATCTAAGCAATTTTAATTCCTTCTCTTGCCACATCGACCCATGTATTAAATCATCCTGTTCTTACTTTATAATTCATTAACTTATGGGATAGTTTCGCCTTGGCCAGACCGATAACATAAAGCTGTGCATGTATTTCGTGGATGGAATGAACCATAATTGTAGGAAATTTTATCACAAATCTTGAACATTTGCGGAACCAAATGCATAACCTAGTCCAGCCTTGGTAACAAATTATGCAAATGCGATGAAATGTGATGACACTGTTGTGTTTCCGAATGCTTTGTATGTAGTGAGGTTTAGATGCGTTGTTCGACCTAGCTACATGTGTACAGCAAAGTAAAACCCCTGTACACATCTTTTTAAATACCTGAATTGACATTAGTACACAATGTGTGTTTTGGGTTACTTCACCAAAACCATAGATGAAACATACTCCGAAGTTAGTCTATTCCAAAACTTGAACACAGCTCTCATCCTCAACGTACTCATCTATGACACAATTTTTAACCCGATTGTCGAAAACTTTTATACCAATTAATGAATTCCTGGTGTTCTTTCTTGAATTCAAAAATAAATGGTAATTGAAAGTAGGCAAAAAAAAGGTAAGTTCCAACCTTACAATATATATAAGCTAACCCGATAAGAAATAATTATGTTCCTTTGAAATTGATATGTAACACTTATTTCATAATTTAAAATTTTCTAAGAGCAATAAAGCATATATTTTTTATCAAAACATTTAAAACGTATCATACATTTATCATTTTGTTGAAACTATAAAAAACTTGCTATGCAGTGGAGGATCAATTCAAAATCATAAATAATAATGTAAACATTAAATTTTGACAGTTTCAGTAGACCTTTGAATACAATTTTAATATTAACAGCTGGTTCATTAAAAGTAGTGTAAAATTATCCATATGGTCGTAGTGTAAACAAAATTGCAGAGTGAACTTTAAAGGCCTCTGGGGCAGAGTCCCAAGGAAATTTACCTCGTTTCTCTTTTAAGGGCTCACCTACAGACCAATACATTTCTTTAGACACCCCTACCAAGTTTCTACACCCAGCCGTTCTCTCAAATTAGCTGTGACAAAAACCCCGTTTTCCTCCATAAGAATAACATGGGATGGGACTTTAAAGGCCACTGGGGCAGAGCCCCTAGGGAATTTACCACGTTTCTCTTTTGATGGCTCATCAACAGACCAAGACCTTTCTTTAGACACCCCTACCAAGTTTCTACGCCTAGCCGTTCTCTCAAAATAGCTATGACAAAGAAAAACAGTTTCAAATTAATATATAGATTGCAGGAACGAGATTCACTGTCAGCAATTTCGTTAAGAACCATTTCCAAGGGGTTGTCATTCGTGGCCGAGATAGATCTTACTTCAGTTTCTAGAGAGTCAACTCTGTCAGCAACAGCCGCTAATTTTTCTAATTTGCTTTCAACTGCTACTAATCGAGGTTCGAAGTCATCAATTTTTGCAGCTAGAGATTCCAGTTTGCTTTCGATGCTACTCGTAGCGACTCCAATTTCTTCCTTAGTAACCAAGGTATTGAACTTGGTGAGAATCATTGATAGTTAGTTGGTTGATTGAAACTTTGTGATTTTTGGATGCATTTCATGCAAATAAATAAAAGTAAGGTGGTTATGCTACTTGTTGTATCCGAAAATAAAATTCAGTGCCCCCTTGCTAAATAACCTAATTGGATTGATGCCGTGTGTGTAAAAATGTCAATTCCTTGTGTTTTTAAAAGTTATGGTGACAGCTGTGGGATGAATCTCGCACTTCAAACATGTTCTCAAATATGTAATGACTCACTTTCTACTCTTGTTATGAAATATACTATAACATTTGGGACCATTTTTTTTATTTCAGTGCACTATAGGAAATAAAGTAATTCTGTAGTTGATATACTATGGTTGATACATGGTTGATATTTTTATGCACATATTTGTAGGTGGTTTTAGCTTAAACAACAATTCATTTCCTTCCATATATTTAGAAGAACATCTACAAATAATATAAAACATATTATAACATATAACATGTTATATGTTATATGGTATACAACAAACATCTGGCTCAATATAGTATAGATGAATTTATAAATAAAAAATGAAATAGCTATCCATTCTAAAATAATTGTAAAATTGTTTAGTCTTTTATATTAAATTGTATAACCAATTTTGTATGCTTTGACACTATTAATGTATGTAACGGTTAGTTTTTATGTGTTACTTCTTTTAAATGATGTTTATTATTATATAGTATATTGTGGGGGGTGACCTTGCTTGGCAGTGAGCACAAAGAAAGGTACTCGAGATTCGATTATACAAAATTCTATATTATATTGTCAACACAAGTATTATTTATAATTACAGAGATAAAAGGAAAATAGAATATAGATATTATATCGAGAACAATGAATGGCAAATACTAAATGACAAAATATGATTTCCAATCAAATATAATTGTTTATGTTATTATTCTCAAAATAACTATTCAACCAAAGAGGCAATAGAAATTGGTAAATATATATATTGTTTTAAATAAATGTATGTAATGAAATTTATGAATTTAATATGAAAAGTGTTAAGTGTCTTTATAAGTATTTCAAAACTATCTGTGCTCTAAGTCTAAAAATATTAAAAGAGGATAACGGCCTTACCTTGGCCAGCCGGCGCTGGTTCCTAAGGAAGAGTGTGTTATTCGTGAAGGTTTACCACCGACGGTATTTTCAATTTGGCTGCAAAGAGAGATTAAGGCCATGATCAGCAATTTGTTGGTTATTGAACCTACTGAATGCAAGAAGCAGCACAAAACTGCTTACACTCAACAATCTACTTTACACAACCAACTGCTGTAACTGATACTTCTACAATTGTTTGATTGATTGAAAATCATTTACAATGTGAATTTCTAAATTTATTATTTAATTACATTCTTCCCCAAAAATTAAAGTCGTCCTACCATCACATAAAATTTATAAAGTGAATAAAGATAATTTGATTTGATTTGATTTGATTTAGTGAATTATCTATATAAATAAAATTAGAGTTTTGTCTGTACATTGCTTAGAATAATGAACTTTTTGGTTATTTTTACATTTCATAGGTCAGAGAAACCGAATCAAACCTTATCTCAATTTCTGTCTGTCTGTCTGTCTGTCTGTCTGTCTGTCTATCTGTCATTCTCTTGGTAACGCTAAAATACGCACTTTATTACAACTACTCCTCAATAACTATAGCACTGTCCCGCCTGAAACTTATTTTCCAAATACTATACATATATGAGATGGTTTTAGACGTATTTCATCGAATATGAGACAGTTAGATATTTAACAGTAAACCCTTGAAAATCAAGTTTTTGTCGATTTTTGACGTGGAATTTCTGGAAGCCCATGTTAACCTTATGAGAAATGAAATTATTGAATCTTAACAGCTGTTTCAATTAAACAAGTTGGTTCTGTTCTGTGATGTTCAATAGCATTAAAGTTACAAGGATTACCAACAGGGTGCAGCACTAGCACTATTATTTCTTTTACATTTATGACAACAGCTAATTTGCAACCTGGAGGCGAGTGAGCGTAGCGAACGAGCTAACCTGAAGGCAAGTGAGCGTAGCGAACGAGCTAACCTGAAGGAAAGTGAGCGCAGCGAACGAGCTCCAACATACAGGTGAGTGAGCGTAGCGAACGAACTTCAACCAGGACGTGATTGAGCCATGCAAACGAGATCAGATAGTAAAAATAAAAGTAAGCCTACCGTTATAGGATCGACCGGCAGACACAGAGGTAATTTAACCTTTTATTGATTGTCATACCGATCCGGAACAACAAAAAACAACATAAAATGAAGCTATGTATAATAGTTTGGCCAGCATATCTTAAAATATGCAAACCAACTGCTGTTCGTTATATAAGAAGGTTTCAACTGAATATTATAAGATCCCCGTGCGTAGAACGGGTACACAGCTAGTTAACAATAAAATCAGCTAATCTACTGTATCACTGGGATTATAGATTACACTAGGCTGTTTTTCGAAGCTTACCATTATGATAATCTTATAACTTAGTAATAACCAACAACGTGTTGGCTAATTTTAAGACTTTAACCGAAACACATCGGATGCATGGACTCATTCCCAAAATCTAAATGTTTACACAAACACAGAGCGAACTTACGTAGGCCAACGATGACTAAACATTTCTGACTCTGAAACACCCCCCCCCCTTTCCTTATATTGATATTTGATCCCAAGTTTGTTCCATTTGATTGAACAACCATCAGGAGGATTATCTTTCATTTATGTCTGAGCGTTCATGATAGTTGGAGTTGTGGGTCGGGGAAAGTTTGATCTAAGTTTCCCCTAAAAACCGACATGATCTTCTTCCCTAAGATGCCTTTCATATGCGTCGTAATTGGTTATAGTTAGTTACATTTCAAAGCTATTGAGAATTACTGAGATGTTTAATAATTTGACACTTTGTACTCACATGGTCTAGTATTCATATAAACAGTTAGAAAGGTCCACTAAAACACTTTATTTGTGAAAAGACTAAGTTTGCTGAACATTTGGTGCCAGGGTCACATATTTGGGAATTTGGTAGGGGGACATCTGGGACAATGGTAGAACAGTAAGCCAGAATACATAAGAAAGTAATTTAATTTATTAAACAAATTAAAATCTTACACCTATCAAATCATAACACCTGTGCCATTTTTTTACCCTCCTCTGGAGTTTGTTACAGCAATTGTAAATAAGTCGGAAAAATATCGTAATAAACATAAGATAAACTACTATAGAAAACAATATTACCCTACACTTTATGAGAGCTCAAAATTACCTTAAAATTTAGCTATTAAACAGTATTCGTACTCTATATTGTAGAAAACAATCTAATTAATTCTACTGAATACTGAAAACGATTATTTACAGTAAATGGTTATATAATCTAGTATAATACATAATTAAATACAAAAAAGTTAATACTAATTTAAGTAATTCCTTTTCTAGTATGTATTTCAGACTTCTAAATGTACCGCGGAGATGATTCTTATCCCATCTAACGGTTTAAAGCCTTTCCATAGTTATTGTACAAAGTAAACGAGGTTTCTGGACAAACACTCAATTGACTGTTTATGAACTAAAATTCAAACAAAGATGATTCACTCCCCTGTTTTGGAGTGAAATCAGGGGATCGGGATGTAGCCACATGTGCCAATCAGTCTACTAAGAAGAGCAATAACAAACTACCTCAATCTACTAATTCAACTAATCAACTTATCAAAATCAACTAATCCAACTAATGAAGTAATATAATCCACTAACAAACTACTACTTTTTGTTCCCTTTTTGTTCTACAGTAGGTATCTAACTTATATTACACTGTTTAATAAATCTACTATTGAGGGAGTCACATGGAACTTAGTGAAACTATGGCATATTTTGCACATTTAAAGTTCTAGTAACAACAATGTAGACTAAAATTCTAATTGTTGAAAAATAACTAAGTTAACTAAACGCATATACTATTGCAAAATTACTATAACTGACAGATACAACATGACCTTTTTACATAAATCTTTTTTCGTATGTCTATACCTTAACTAAATAAAGTAAACAACTCCTTTACAAATAAACATCACGTTGATGGACTTGTAATCAAACAAGTCAAATTCATACACAACGAGTGCTACACGTGTGAGCGCAGTTCGTTTTCTCGTTTGGCAGAGTGTTTCCCGTTGTCACATCTGTCAGTCGTCTCCTCGTTGTAGAATATTTTCTCGATCTCCTGCAAAGGGACTCCCTCAGTCTCTGGAAGGTTGAAGTACAGGTAGACTATGCCGAGGAGACCCACGGTCCCGTAGAGGAAGAGAGCTCCTGATTCACCTATCAGGTACACGACGTTGAAGTACGTCTTGATAATGATGAACATGAGGAGATATCCAATAGCTGCCGATACGCCACTGGCTACACCACGGCCTCTGTAAACGTTTAGTGTCAACACTTTGTAACAAATACAACTTATTATGTTTCTAAAACTAGGATAAGGCCCGCACTGGTTTATTTAATATTTATTGGTGATATGTAGGCTATAACACCATCATATTTACGTCATCTAATTGCTGCAGGATTTATAAGTATAGTGTTCCTCTTTTTATCTTACGCATAGCTTATGAGAATAATTAGTTGTAAATGACCAAATGGTTAGTTCCTAATGTTTCTGGCAAATTTATACTATTTATACCAAGAAGGAGCGAATATCTTATGCCAACTGCAAATAGTTTTTTCCACTTATTACATTGGTAAAACTACTATCTTCATGTCAAACCCGTCAATCAAAAACAATTTTTCACACAACTTACTTGAGTGGAAACACCTCTGATATCAGGATCCAGGGGACGGGTAGCATGCCTAGAGTGGCGGCGAAGTTCATCAAGCAGACCAGGGTGATCACCAGCCAGGGGACGTGTAGGTTGAAGATGAGGTAGAGACCTAGGCCGAAGCAGCAGACCACGCCTAGGCCCAGGGAACTGAACGTGAGACCTCTCTTGCCCACGCGTCTCATGAGGAGAGTGGACGTGATAGCCCCGAGGAAGACCAGGCCGGTGCCGAGGAACTTATCAAACAGAGAAACGGTCAAGTCAATCAAGTGTTGAAAATTCAAACGTCCATGACGATTTTTTGGAAAGCGATCTTTAATTATTTTAAAGATATCACAAAGAAGAAAGGATGAGACAGGGATTAGTCTTTCTTTATGTATATCAACGAGGCATTTTATCAACATTTTGGTTAGGTGGAAGTTCAAAACGTTACATTGTTATAAAACACATGTTTTTTAACAAATTTTTTTTTATGTGATTTTAAATTTGAATGTGCACATCGCCCATTTTAAAATGTGTTTTTAAAGATAAATGCATCAAAGTCACGATTATTCAGTTCTTAGTTCCCATTTGTCATCGGGTAAGTGGTTAGCTATGCTGTTAAGCAACAGGAAGGCGTTTTATAACCACAAGACCCAAACAAAAAACCAGCTGCTGGTTGTTTTGTTGAACTAAAAAAATATATGAGGTAAAAAATTTTTATTTGGAAACAGAGTCAAGAATCGATCCATCTTGAAATTGTCGCTGTAGACCTATCATCCTAGAAAATAAACGCATCCCTTAAAGAATGTCGTGATCTGAACTCCAGATCATTTTGGCAGATGTTCCGGCTATCTTCATCTTGAAAAAAAGTGTATCGGTCTCTCCAAAGGTAGTTAGAATGGTTCGCGTATCATAAACTATTATTGGGTGGTATCTCGTCTAGGTTTGTGCATTGCGGCTTTTTCTAAGTTAAAATATTGATACGAAAATCTTAATGGTGCAAAAACCTACAAATAGGAGCACGGACTATTGTAATTGAAAGCAAAGTTGGACTTAACAAAAACGTAGTATTAAAAGAGCAGTCAACATTTATCATATACTCACAATGACCATATTCGGCCTGATCGGCAAGTTAAGGCTTGTCAAAAACTCGACAAAAAACGGCTTCATAGCTGTTAGACTAGTACAGGAGGTGATGAAGAAAAATGTGACGATTAAACGAAGAGGTCTTTGTACAGAAGGGTGAAGGAATATCTCCAGCTGAGATTTGGTAGCATGGCTGGGAGTAGTACCTAGAACAATGAGAATGTGTTTACATGACATGTATAAGATGTTTTTTGTTATTTTCACCCTATATGGTCTAGCTTTTTCAAGTTCATCGCATCATATATTTAGTCAAATTTAATTTAACCACTTGTGTTGGACTTTTGTCAAGTACTGTATAAATTTATTGTCTGAAACCACTGATTTAACAGTAGATTTTAAACATCTCACGTTATTTGTATTTCCTAAACAACTGCCTGGTTAGAATTTTAGTTAGTTCAGTATCAGGGAAGGTCTACGTCCATGGCCTATAACAGCAAAAAACGTAAATGTATATAAGAGGATGCTAATCCTTACCACCTTCTTCAGTTGCTACAACTTGATACTCGAGGAGGTTTAGGACCCTAGTAGATGCTTGGCCGGAGTTGCGAACATAAGAAATGAGGGTGTCTAGCTCTTCCTTGACCATCTCCGGAGACACCCATCCTCTCAGCCACTGGAAGGCTTTCTCAGCATCCTTCACACGACCTTTAGTCACCAGCCAGGCAGGTGAGTCTGGTACCTGGAAAATAATAGTACAGATAACACAGTGTAGATTTTGGCTAGGTGTATAGCTCTTCTATAATAAGTCTGTCAAAGGACACACAAATCCTTTCAGCAATGAAAGGATCTCGCGGCATTTTCCAACTCCCTTTGGTCATCAGCTATGCTGGGTATTTACTCAGGGGAGGTATAGAAGAGGCTACGATGACAGCTGTGGGCTTCTTATTAGCTGAGGGAACGCCATTACCGTAACAAAACGGTCGGTAGCCATCGGCCTCGGTGGTCTAATGGTTAGCGTGCCGGGCTCATATACAGTAGGTCCCGGGTTCGAATCCTGCTGGTAGCATTTACTTTTTGTCCAAGATTTTTTATTATCAGCAAGTTTGGTTGGTTTGGTTCGGTAATTACAGTTTAATTTTATTATTAAGTCATTACAAAATTTTAATTGAGCAAATTCTAGTTTTATTTAATAAACAGAATTATTTTTCCGATTACTAAACTTTTGTTATATTATTTCTTTATCAGCAAGTTTGGTTAGTTCGGTTAGGTTATGATAGTTTAATTTTATAATTAAAAAATAATAAAATTGAATTTGAGACATTTATAATTTTATTTTATGAACAGAACTATTTTTGCGATTAGTAAACCTTCATTGCCAAAGTGCTCTCTACTACAGCGCTGTTCACGAAGGAATTTTGAACTAAATGCCTCATTCGTACCTCCCCTAAGTCAGACCCGCTATGCTGGGACCGTGAGAATGATAATGCAGATCAAATGGTAGATACAATTGATGCATATCTCTTCCTTAACTACCTATCTCTGAAGCTTAGCGTACTACTGGACAAGGGAAACATAGGAATACTACCGGCTCTCTATAACTACAAACATAATACAATTTTTTCAAATTATTTTCATCTAATTTCCGTTTTGTCAATATAATAAATGGAAAATTAATAATACGAGTGAAGGCAATTAAAATCTTGAAAAAAATCCATTCAAATGTATGTGTATAAAAAACCTTAACATCGCGAGAACATATTTAAAACATGTGGGGGTAATAATATAACCCACATGTGATTAGTTTTAATGTGTATTTTTGGTGGTTGATTTTCCAAGAAAAGATTTAGTACCAAAGTTTGACCTAAAATTCGGTATTTTGTCAAGGTATTGTTTTTCTCAGGTAATTAGTAATTTATAAGAAAAAATTATACATCAATTGTCAATGATTATATCAACAAGAATTTCGACCTGAATCCATTACCAGTGGAGTGGGTAACAACTGGTGCAGTTCTGACCTTTGGCCACCAAAGTCTGATTACATGCATTTTAAGCTACTCTTACATGTTTGGCTTTTAGATAAACTATTCGCCTGGACTACAATAAAATATTAAACAGTTTTTTAAATATTCTAAAATTTTTAAAATATTATTATTTACGGGTTTTAAAATAGTACCGGGAGACCGATCTTTGCTTGGATTCAATAAAGCATTTATTAAATAAGTTAATTATTGAATCGAAACTTTTGCAAACATTTTTGTTGCCTAGTAGCATTTGGATAATTTGGTTGTGTATCATTCCAGTTTCAGCATCAAGTGTATAAACGATAGCACGGTGTTTCAAGTTTTCTAATATTGTCTGCCTGCAATGTAGTTGCATGGTGCATAATGCTTATTCAATGATATCCCTCGCCAACCGACATGACAACATTGTAGGTTTGGGGGATTTCAGACTTCACTGCGCTGACGATCTTCCAAACGACGAGCTGCAATTCGTCGACTCTCCTGCTCAAAATGATCAGCCAATTGATGATATTCTCGGTCATAAGATCTGTCATTCTTCGATGCGTAACTTGGCCGAGTTTCTGAGACATCTGGTGATCTGGCGAGCTGGTTGGATCTGGTTCGGTTGTATACGAAGTGGTAAAATTTGTTTCTCTTAATTAATTGTTATAGTTTTGTGTGTTTTGAAGATATTTAGAATTAGTTGTGAGTCACAGTTGAGTTTGGATTAAAAAGTGAAGTACAGTTCTTGTGTAGAAATAAGCGATTGATTGTTAATTTCGTGGTTACACTATTTAAATAGAAATAAGTCTCCTTTGGACAGTAAGTGGAAGTCGTCCAGGTGCAGGTAGAGGATTGGCGATAAAGCCATTCGGATTAATTAGGGCTTTGCGCGCGTTGGATTACGCTAGGAGTAGGCATGTTGTGGGATTATGGTACCATGTGCCAAGGTTGCCATTAGGACTAGGAGCCAAAATAGGCAGGGAATGGAAGAAGGAGAATCCCCTGACGGCACAGAGGTCGAGGTCATGATCAAGATGAGGGTGGTCCTACCGCCGAAGCAGCCGTGGTAGACGAGGATAGTGATGACAGTATGGTGAATCAGAGTCTAGCAGTCTACGTCACTTGGTGGCTCTCGTTGAGGAATATGACTCTACTTCCTCAGTGACGACTCGGATTAGGACGAAGACTACCCTAACTACCAGGCCCCAATGACGAATGAGTCGTACTTGTGGCGACTCGGATTCGGATAAAAGTGTGACTCTACAGTTTTCACCGTAAGCAGTGACAGTGACACTTAAGTGTAGTGAAGATAAAGTGTGAAAAAAAACTTTAAACATCAATTTTAATATCAGGAAGGTATAGGCCTATTTTTGTTTAGGTGTTAAACTCAGGCCAACGTGCCGGAGTAGGGACACGTTATCGCCACGTCAGCATGGGGTGTCAACCTCAGTGACTTTTGGACCGAGGTTAGCGGATACCAGGTAAACGGACGACCTCAGTGTGTGATCGTGAGTGAACAATAAAACGGTGTAGGACGCCTAAGCGTTAGACGAGACTAGTGAATATTGGTACGTGTATAGAGGATGGGTACTGGGTATGTCGTAGTCGTATACATCGATATATATAGCTACTGGAATGCGCGCTGTCCACAAGCGCTGTGGTTTGAAATCCGGTCGCACACACGAGTGTGCTGCGGGAGAGTATCCATAGACGCGCAGGTACTGAGTGGGCAAGAACTGAGTGACAACCATGCGACTACGTACAAACACTGGCAGTTCTTTAATGTAATTGTATTAATAATTATAATGCATCATGTAATTAGATTGTTTTTAAGTTACCTTTGTTGTAAAGGATTACTTAAGGAATGCCTTTAAAAGTTTACTTAATTATTTTAAAAACACATTATCCCGCATTTATTTCCCGTATTTAATTTCCCGCCTGTTAATGTCACATGACCATCGTCAGACCCGCGAATGTGGGATTTTGAACCCTGGCTGTTTGTCTTCACGTCTAAGTAAGACTAAGTATTTTTAAATGCATGTGATAACTAGTGCCTAGTTTGTTTTATGTATCAACATGTTAATAAAATACAATAACATAAGAGGTTAAGAGTTGCACTGCATACAATTAATCACGTCGAGATGGAGTAGAGGTTGCAACATTTCTTTTCACAACCAAGTATTAAATATTAATTTGAAATTGAATATTTGAAAATTTTCAATTAAAGCATATGAACTTTTATTTATCTATGTTATTGTTACGAATCTGCTAAACTAACAGAGATAATCCTAAATCGAGACATACAATTAATTGTTTCATATAGAATAATTACAAGTATGTCGGATAAATTACCACCTTTATACTACACTCTTTTGCATTATCTCTTTAATCTAATGACATATTTTGAAAACTGGGTCAACAAATGCTACATACTTGGACATTTCTTCCAGGTTATCTATTAAAATTAGGTATTATTAAGATTAGGGCAAATGAAGATGTCCTAAGAATAGTTAAGTATGCCTACAGACGTAAATGGATGTGTGTAATAATTTTGTAAATTAAGTTTTTATAGGTCATATGACTAATGACGAACTTCAAGGATGCTAAATATATTTGCAATTTTGTTCAAGATTTTTTTCCATCACCTTGCAAAGAGAGAAAGAACAAAAAAATCCAACTTAGGTTTAAGGAAAAAATGTTTTGTAACATGTGATCTGTGTGAGCTTTTAGTAAACGTTATAAATACAGTTATGTTAATAAAACACTTGTTTTGTATTCAATGTTTTGTTTTTATTTCATCCTACCATACAAAATAATATACGTGATTGTAACTCATATTTATACAGATTTAAACAAGCATTATCTAGTTGATAAACAATATTATCTTGTTAAATACGGAAGAAAACTTTAAGAATACGTGTTAATAGTACTTCAATTATGTTTACTCATTACATTGACTATTATTGAGCATGTCAAGAAGATAAATGATTTGTCAAAAGAAGTCTCTTAAAACCAGTTTTTTAGGTGTATAACAGGTTAACATATGCCGCCACAATGCAGAAGCAATACGCTGCGTTGCGCTTTTGCCCATTCTCACCCTTCATTTCCTTGAACGCAACCACTGCTGGCCTGGCATGCTGCTGGCGGTTTGGGCAGCGGAGCGGCGCGGCGCTGCCTATCCAGTAGTTATATATCGATGGTCGTATAGGTAAAATAATATAAGAATATCTTATACATTAAATCGCAGGTAGCGCTCATAAAAAGTAGTTGTACATAATAATCTCTATTAATGTTCTATGTAGAAACGTAGTCATAAATTAGTTTATGAAGTTGTTCTGAATTTATTTTGTTGTTATTTAAAATTATTTTGTCTCCAGTTGTAATATTTTTGTGTTGTAATGTACTTGTCTCCTTGATCCTTGAATGATCCCCAATGTACTGTGTTTACGTGGATGTTACAGGCCGACAAACGGGTTGGTCAGCAAATCAAACGGCTGAACTCCAGTGTGGACGTGAGAACTTCGGAAACCGTCAATAGAGTGGCACGGAGTGTTTATTTCATAGGAAAATATGCACATTGGTGTTGCGAAAGGTGTTACAGAGCGACAGTTAAAACCCCTTGTAGCTAATCAAAAAGTAATGTCAGGATTCGAACAGGAATTGGCACATCAGGTGGAAGAGGCATACGAGGAGAAAGAGGGTATAAACATAAGTATGAAAAATGATAGTGAGGAATTTGAAAGGAGTTGTGGACAAATTATAAATGCCAGTATAAGTATTACTAAAGTATTGGCCGATTTCAGAGACAACAATCTATGGAGGAGAAGAAACGTGATTTTAAAAGTTCCAGTTTGCTACAGATGAGCGTACACCAGGTTATTCGGCAACTCCAGACGACACAGCTGATTTGAAAATTAGAAGTGCTCAGCCAATGTAGAGAGAGAAAATTACCTAATTCTATTGTTACAGTTGATCAACTAAAAGCAGACCTAGAGACATTGGAGGAAGCAATTAAGCTGGATGGTTATGAACTGGCCATCCCCTTTCAGGAAGTCACTAAATATTTAAAGCTAGAGATTGCTGGTTATGTCATTTCAGAAAACAGTATTTTAGTAAACATAAAGGTACCAACCAGGAGGCGTGAGGCGCAATGGCGAACTTATTAACTAATCTCAGTACCCTTTGCATGGAAAAACAATACATGTATGTTACAAAATGAAGAAAATATTTTGGCGTTGATGTTAATAGTTAATAGTTTAGTAAGATACGAATAAATTTTCCGAATTTTTCTTAAATTATGTGTGACGCAAAATTCTAGGGGGGGAATAAACTAGTATTCACCAAGTCAGGCTAGGCCTACCCCTAGAACCAGCCACACTCAAATTTCTTCCCCGGAATGCTCAGAAGGAGCCGAGAAAAATCCAGGGGTCGATACGAAGTTGTCACGGCTTTGACTGATCAATTTATTTAAATTTAATCGAAGGCTCAGAGCTCTAGAAGCGCTCAGGAAATCCTGCAGACGCTCAGTTGGAGTTATATCATCCCAGCCTTCGTAAAAGTGTTTTGGAGAATTTTGCCTAACTTTTATAATGACTCTGTAGGACCGACGAGTATCCAATCTTAAGCCAATGTGATATAAATACTCGTATTAAAATGCAACTAATTAGTTAAAGACGTTGGTAATCGATATAATGTCGAATAAAAGGTAAAAAAAAACAATTCCTACAGAGTCGTCGGGGCCTAATTAATATAACTGAACGGATAATTTATCGTGATATGATTTAAAATAAATTTAATATGAATATTGTAGCTGTTTGATTGTTCAAATCAGCTGCTCCCAAGACTTGATTCTTTCACCCGCCAAAGACGGGGTTTAGAACTTAGACGACAAGTCTCGGGGTATTAAAACGGTGAAAACGAGATATAATTTAGACGTGATAATTCTTGGTTAAGCGAACGGGGAAATCGTAATTTCGAAACTAATTAATTAAAATGAAATAAACGATCGCCACCGCTAGTCACTGGCAGGCAGGAACTGGCGGGTCAAGACTCGAGTTGAGAAAAATTAATTAAGATAATTCGTAATGGAATTTTAAGAAAACGAAAAGGTATAATAAGTAAAGTATGCGTAAGATAAAACAGAAATAACGTAAAACGTAAAAAGGGGCCTAACTAGTATGGTAGCTAACCTTCGTGATAATCGTAGTGTCGTTGTATTCGTAACCCGTGCGAGCTAGTCGGTGGTCAAACAGCGAAGTTACTCTCAAGACGGCGTACGAACGAATAATCCTGTCTCGGAGTAAAATCCTTCGTTCCTGCCCGCTTGAGGCTTACGCGCTCAAGCGGCGAACTTTAGTACTACTAGACAACAGCCGATCGAATTCACTTGTTGAGCTGGTCTAGTTTCGTCTGTCGTCTGTCAACAAATAAACACCAGTTTGGGGTTATGTCGTCGTCGGCGTTAAATATCTGTAAAATCGGCCGGTTTAACTTTATTATGTGAAGCGAAGTGCTATTATGAATAAATATGTAGTTGTGGATGTGTTTGTGTACTTCACTGTGAATAAAAATAGGCCTACGTTCTTTGGCCCATAGCCCAAGCTATGGCCAACACATAGGCCTAGGAGTAGGCTATTGTGGTTAAAAATCGGGTAAGTTCTGATGTTCATTTATTCGTAGTACGTTTTAACCCCCCTTAAAATTTGGCACCTTACATATGTTTTTAAATAAGCAAACTACAAGTTTACTTATTCTCCATAGGATTAACATGGGAATTTTAGATTTAAAATGTTTTGGAATTTTCTCCGTAACCATTAGGTGCATAATAAGCTCTAAAAAATGGTTTAGAAAGAAATTTGCTAAATTTTATGTACGAGCGAACGACCGGGCGTAGGTTAAGGCGCAGCTGAGACGCTGGCGATGTGCTGACTGATTCGCGATAATTGTGACACAGTTGATAACTAGTAACTCGCTACATTATGCAGACAATTACTCTTGGATTTTGTTAGGTTAAACATGACATCTGTTGTATGTTATGTCTATGACATTTTTTGTCTGTTTGTTTTTTTTCTGATGATTCAGAAGACTGGTCTCACTCATCTCAGGATATCTAATCTCTAATATCTCATAGCGTATCTAAGGACCAACAGAACTGTTTATCTTGAGTGAATACTGACTCTTCAGTCCCTTATTTACAATGTAAACAACGGTCACATGCTCAATATAAACAACAAACCACGAGAAGACGCAAACATAAACACATCTGTCACTGAACAAAAACGCAGGAAAACGGTTTACATTTTCTGATAGCCATGGAAAAGACCCCAGGGAACCAATTCTACCAATTGGTTTTGAATAATTGCCACTACCAAATCGGGTGCTTCTTTTATTATATTTTAACATGACACAACATTTCTAACATGAGACAGGAATCCTTTAACAACAAGACACGACATTTCCAACATGACACAGGACTCCTTAAATAACGACACGGTTAAAGTTAATGTTGGTGCTAAAACATATGTGACGTCACCCACTACAACCAGGAATCGGCAAGATATTCTACGAATTTGTCCCAGCGAATCATCATACCTACTTAAGATGGATTTTCCTAGATGCGAAAGCGGAACGAGGAACGCGGAACGAAAAAAATGAGAAGGAAGAAGCTATTTTAATGGCAGTCCTCTCCGCTTCTAGAAAAATCAGTACCATTAATCACGTCTTACATTTTTTTATATTCTAAATATGAAGGAATCTAAATACAAACCAGTGATAAGGCCAGGAACGCCAATATAGGAGACAGTGCACTCCATAGCATCATTGTTCTCCAGTCAGTAGAGGCTCCTATGAAGGCGGACACAACGAGGCCGAAGTTGAAAAAGATCCCGCCTAGGCTGCTGAGAACTCCTCGAAGTCTAGGCTCGCTGATCTCTCCAATGTACGAAAGAACCGGCGCCTCCATGAAGCCTAGACTCAGACCTAAGACAGAGCAGGGTTACTAGCTTGAGGAAATTGTTGGGTATCTATCAACTATACTGAGATATTCACGAAAATTGGCTTACGGATCTCCGCACTTGATAGAAAGAAAAGGAACATTAAATTACCTGTGACAAAATTCATTTCCCAAATAGAGAAGATGGAATGTTATAATAATGTCTCATTTAACGCATTCTTACTTTTTTACCACAATTGGCATGTAAAGTAATACCATCTATATCTATAAAAGAGGAACTATGTATGTATGTATGTATGTGTGTGTGTATATACGTTATGGACTCCGAAACCGCTCGACAGATTGTAATGAAACTTTTAGGCATTATTAAGCATCTTTCAAGGATGGTTCGAGGGAAGTTTGGTGCAGATCCGTCAAAAGGGCTCTGCCCCAGAGGGTTTTAAGTGGGCCAATGTCAGACTTTTTGATCTACAATGTTTAAAAATAAATATAATTCAAAAGCAGATGTTTACTTTCACCAATTGTTTTGTAGGTTTGAATAATCACAACATTCTGTATTAGCAATGGTCATGATTTGAAATAGTGCCACAGTGCTTCTACAGAGTGCAGCACAGAAAACTATTTTACTTTTGAATAAGTCCAAATGTATTAAACCCCAATCGCAGCACACCTGTGCACTTAACAACGTTTAAATTCTCCAATGTTAAATATTAAAACATAAAACCCTTTATGAAAGTATTATAAACAATAAAAGAGATGACTTTTTTTAAATTTATGACAACAGCTAATTTGCAACGATTTGCAGCTAATTTGGAGGCAAGTGAGCGCAGCGAACGAGCTCCAACCTGAAGGTGAGTGAGCGTAGCGAACGAACTTCAACCAGGACGTAATTGAGCCATGCAAATACTTATGAAGTTAAACGGGACAAAGCCCGTGGGTACAGCTAGTTATTTATAAAATTCAAAAGAATCACTTTATCTATCCAGCGACACACTTTTTGTAAGTTTTACTGAATGTAAATGCAAGATGAGTGGCGTGGATTAAGTGATATGACGTTATACTTTTGTTGTGCTCACTAATATAAGACATTTTTTTTATTCAGAACCATTTATCAAAATCACAATGACCAATGACGGCTAGATGCTGTGGTACTGCACTGATAGCAGCGTGTTTTACGAATTATGTGTATTTTAACTCACTAACCTGTAAACCACAGCTGTTGGCGAGGTTCAAGTTGTTGGGTTATAGGTTTTGATGAGACCTGGGTAAGGGCGTGTGGTGGTAGATGTTGTTGGTTGGGTTGTTGCAGATTTGCTTGATTTGGTGAGTTGGGTGGTTGTGAAAAATTCTTGTAGACATGGCCTAGGATTTCAGGCCACCGTGTTATATAAAAGACTGTACATATTAAAATCCTTTTGTAGCTGAACATCTAGAATACAAACCCATGGTGGCGACGGAGACGAACAGCGTGGTGGCTGAGGTGGCGTAGTGCAAAGCAACCCACGCCATTAGCTGAGGAATGTTGACCACCATCATGCAGAGCTTGCGACCCAGCTGATCCTGTAGAAAACCAGATACCACGCTACCTAGAGGCTGGGCTATGAAGATTAGTCCGGCTGGAACATACGTAATACAAAGTCGTTAAAATCCACTCGTTAGGTATGTTACGATTAAATTACGTATTTCAGACATTATCTTAAGTCAATTATTCCGGTGATTTTTCCATAATAACTCACAAAATAACGAAAAATCAGTTTTTAACAAAAAAAAACTGGTGAAATGATTTCATTGATATTTAGTGATGGTCCTTTAAACTCGAAATAAAATTATGTAACCCCAATGGTGTAAAAAATTAGAGTTCAAAATGTATTACAATTTTTGTGATTTTACCTATAAACTATCTTAGTTACTCCCATTACTGTAATCCCTCCCCTTACCCATTGATCATAAGGATTGATGACAAGGTATTGGGAAAAAGTATATCTCAGTTCGTTGATACAGATTATTAAGATTTGTTTGTTTATAGTTTTTTGTTCTGTTTTTGAATAGTTTATTATCTTTCTTTCAAATGCATCAGGATTTTCAAGTGAAGAACGATTCTTAAAAGAAACTTTTGAAATTCAAGTTTAAATAAATATGATGTGAATACGTGAAGATATAAAAATTAATACATGTAGATGTGTTATTAATCACTGTAACTTGTCAACATGATGTTTCAAATAATTGATACAAAAAGGTAAATGGATATTTGAAAGTTGGTAAAGAAATGAACACATTTGAGGACAGTGAAACTTAAAGGCGTTCTTGAAATGAGCACATCTGTCAAAGACATGCACTCAACTCAATTGTTAAATTATTAGGAGATTAGTAGATATTACGTAAAAATTTAATGATAACGATAACTGTAATCGGTCAAAAATAGGTAATCAGATATCCAAGTAAACCGTCTTGCGATTTCTAATAAGTTACTAATTGTCCTGGGCATATAGGTAAACAAAAACATTGTTTATCCACTGGCATTAAAGTAAAATGAATATTCAATTTTTGTTCTTGGTATATGTTTTATTATTTATAGTAAACAACAAAAAATAACCATTTAAAATAATAGTTGTTTAGTGCAGCAACGCGTGCCAGGTAACGGCTAGTAGATTATATAACAACAAAGATCACGTACTCCAATAATTCTCATAAAATAAATACAACCCAGCCTTGTTTTATTTTTTAAATAAACAAATCTATCATCAAAGTTGAAAATACATTTTTAAAGTAATGAGAAACAACACATCCCATTTCACCAATCTTAACCAACCCATAAGTACTGTTAGTTTGAACCAAATAGAGTGAGCTATGATTTAGTCTTTCCTTGACAACTAAACTGCTGAAAACACAATCTAAACCAACAAATAACAAAAGGTTATTTTATACAGGAATTTGTGTATTACTTTTCAAACTGCATAGACTTTTACCATTGAGTACTTAATGCCATTACTATACACAGTTATTAATGTTAAATTAGGATACAATTTAACAAGATGGCTGTAAAATATGATACATACAAATTTAATCCCAAGTTTAAAAAATTTTAATTTATTAGAAGGCAATTTATAATTTACATAATTGTAATAGTTGTTAGGAATATTTACCAAACCATGACGCCTCGTCGTCTGTTAGTGAGAAGTCACTTCCAGGAAGTCTGAGGGCCCCTATCACTATCACTGGCATGCCAATGATAATGCCAACATTGAACATCAGGCATTCAAACGCCATAGTTGCAAGGACCTGTAAAAAATCACTATCACTGGCATGCCGATTGTAATGTCAACGTTTAACATCAAACGTTTAACATCAAAAGCTGTAACTATCTGGAAAACCTCACTATAATTCGGCAACGTTGATCTTCAGTCATTCTAACGAAAATGTTGCTAGGACCTACAGCACCATTACTGGCATGTCGACGATTAAGACAACATTGAGCATAAAACAATTAAACTCCAAAGATAAAAATATATGAAAAACATCACTATAACTGTCATACTGATTATAACACCAACATTAAATATGAGTAATATAATGATCTGTGCGCTAAAACCTTCTAAAAGCAATGAACTGCAAGTGCATGTAAGTTCAGCCACATACTTGCATTTTTCATGGAATCTAAAATAATTTACACCGTATTTATTTTGAATCCTGGGTTCAAAATTATTTTCTCTAGTGGTTTCTGAGCTTTAACTTGTTAAGAGATTATAAATTTACAATTCTAAACACCGTTGACATTTACGTTAAGTTTCAATAAAAGTTTCTACATGGCCTATAGTGCAATTGGCCACGCCTAGTAACTAAAGTATGCAGATTGGAATGCAAATTTAAATAAAACACACTTGGAATTTACTTCCTGTTTCTGATGACAATATAAACCGCTATATGACTTTGAACTTTAAAATAGACAGTAATAATTTTGATAGTCGTGAATAAACATTTATAAACCATTTTTGGCATTTAATTTTATCATAGTTTACCAACGCAAACAATTATTTTTAGAATTTACTAGCTGCTGTAGCCGTGCTTCGCAACGGGAAGAAAAATATGTTTAATAATCATTAACATAGATTTAGAATAAATAATCCATCATAAAGTTTTAGATTAAATAATCCTACCACATGGTTGAGTAAAATCATAGAAAAATAAATATATTGAATTTCTTAGGATAAGCTGTCTGAAATTTTGAAATGAGCATTTGCCAGTTCTGATTGTTTACAATTAAATATCAACGCAAAGGTAAACATTGTGAATTTTCTCATGCTTCAATGGAGACCAATTGACATTTGTTTTTGAAAACCTCATCTCAAAACTTTGGATATCCAAGGGTCCGTGAGCAAGTCATGGAATTGAATAGACCTATGGCATCCCTAGTTATGTGGACCATCTTTGTGCTTAATTTTGGCTGTAACCGTTAAGTATTTCAGTCGTGACAGCTGCCCAGACAGACAGACAGACCGACCTAACCTCAATTTTATAATAATATAGATAAAATAGAAACTTAAATTGTATATCCAAAACATCTCTAGTGTATGATGAGTTTGAAACAAAACTTGGGTTGAACTTTGTGTAAAAGATTGTTGTTGTTTGACATTCCTATATAGGGTGTTCAAAAAAAAGGTGTAGACATAATTTATGTAGTGATTCCTTGGGTCGAAATAGAGGTAAAATCAAGAATAATATTTTTCCAAAATTGCTTCGTTAACCAGATATTCACCATTTTGTATTTTTTACGTAAACATTTTTATCTTTGAATTTTTACCACCGATCTTTATGAGCTTGGTATGTACGTTGAGGTAGAAGAGACCCATGCTAGAAAAAATATCTTGATTCACCTTAAAATTTACAACTAAAAATTGTTATATTTTAGTTATTTTTCGATAGATTTTATAACTTGGTACCGTTTGATAGGGAATATAAAAGAAATGTGTTTTGAAATCTTTTCATAAAATCAGCTATATTTTAATTATTCAAGTTTAAAAAATTTGAATGGTCACAATTTTGAATTTCTAATTTAACCATGAATCAAGATAATTTTTGTTATTATCGTCTCTTCTACCTTAACATACATACCAAGTTTCATAAAATCGATTGAAAAATTTATAAAATAAAAATGATTATAAACAATACAAAATGGTGGATATCTTGAACAAAGCGATTTTGGAAAAAATATTAGTCTTCATTTTCTTATAATTTTGACCCATGGTATCACTGCGTATTTAGCCCACCTTTTTTGAACACTCTGTATGGGCCCCAATAGTTATTCTAAGATTTGGTTAATAGTGTGATGTGAAATTAATTGTTTAACTCTAGTATAAAAGTAGTATAAATATATATTTATGTAGATTTTTCAAAATTTATGTATCTATAGAGCCATAAAATATTTTTGCAAAGCAGCTTACTCATGGTTCATTAAATTTTTACGACCATTTCAAAACAGTAGTTTTTATTTACAGAACATTAAACGGCAATAATTCGCTCAAGTAGATTTGAATTCAAAGATGACATTGTTTCATGAATTAGTCACGTCCATTAAATTTGTTACGTAATTGTTGTGCATTGATAGACAGCCTGATAGCAGACTAACTTTAAATGATATGCTGTACGATCAATATCTATGTATAGTAGATGCACTATTCTACACTACACTACACTATTCTTATACTGTTTTGACGAGTTTTCCCTAGCGAAGAAACATTTGACGTAGGTAGCATGACAAGACCTAGACCCGGGACCGATTTGCTTTTTCATTTGGATGGGCCGAGAGATCAAATACACTATTAGTTAAATTTGTATAAATGTATATATCTGTGAACATGATAACTCAAGGTCTGTTCAAATTTTGGTGGGATTAAGCATGAATTTGTAGGGTTGGATGAACTTGATTCAGTTTCCTATCCAGCAGGGTCAGTTAATGTGTGTTATAGGGTTTTGAAATTATAATCCAGTATATGACAAATGCCTAATACATAGGCGTAAAGAAATACTGAATGGCTCTTGTTAAAGGTTATTATTTGTTCAAAAATGGCAAGCGAGACAAAGTCCCACGAAACAACACTTGAACCAAGTCAACGAACCACTTGATTTCGGAAATCAAAAAACTAAACTGTGTCTTCTAACCCAAAAAATGACACTGAAAGTTTTGATTTTTGACATTCAAACACTCCCACTACCGAGGCCTTAAAATGACAGTGTAAATTGTTAGCAAACCTTCTCCTGTAGCTTTCACCGAAATCGTGAAAGAAGGTAACAACACATAGAACAGCTAGTTTAAAATAGACTCGGACTCGGAAGATAAGTGATATTGGGAAGCTGAACACGGTCTTCATCTCTAGACTCCGCAGAAGCTGCAATAAAGAGGATATCTGTTATTTACTCGGCAAATCAAAAAGAAAAGGTGATTGTGTTACCTTGACACCCAGGTAGGACTCTTACAAATCCTTCGAATTTGGTGTTACTTCTGTTCTTAGATAGACTATTTCTGGCTTTAAGGCACTCTATTTAAACGATTTGTAGTTAAGCCAAAGTTAGTTGAGCGCCATCACGTTTTTTAAGAAACTGCAAAATCCATCCGTAGACACGAGAAATTGAAATCCGGGAGGCATAGGTGTTTTTTTCTAGGACGTTAGGCACGAGCCTGGGATTGTTTTTCACATTACTTCAGGCTAGACCTAGGGGTTGCGGCATTATCACTTAGTTAAAATGACTTGGCAGTGAGGCATAAGGGAGGTGTAAGGAGGCATATGTGTATGTTATGTACGAATAGTGTATGTTTATCTGATCTCCCTGTGCTCAAGCCGGTTTGAATTGTCCAAAATCATGTGAAGACAAGGTCACGGTCGCGGTTCTTTGCGTCCGAAACCTTTTCGATATCACAATATTACGATACAACTATTTAGTACAAAACGGTAGATTCGCATATCTCGATGGGTAATCTAATCATACGAATGGAGATTTGCTTAGTTTGCAGGATTGCTGCAGTGGGGTGTTTTAAAATTGATTCAGGCTTCTTAAAATTATTTTTAAAATATAGTATCACTTAGCTAGTATAAACGCTGCTGTTATGTATTAAACAAAAAGTTTCTTAATCGACTTTAAGTCTTTATTCAAAGTTAACAATTCAATAAATTTTTGGATGTTTGAATGACTAAATAATATATCTTGTGTTTGGTGGAATGTACACCTCGAGTAACGTGCGTAAGTAGGGCATACGGAGCTCAGTAGTTTTATTGCAAAAGTCAAGGTTATATGGGATCATAATAATCCTACTAACAGTTGTAAAACAGCTTACTTCAATTCCCTATTTTTTACTATACAAATTTTGATAATGCTTCAAAATAGTGTTCTAATAAATTTAATATTACGCCAAAGTCATCCCTCGTTGTTGGCTTATTACTGCAATATAATGGAACTGTTATAAAAAAGTGTGGTCTTTACTCATTCAAGTAATATTTAAGTTTATCAGGACAAATAATCGTATGGTTTGTACCAAAAGCGAAACAACTTCATTATTAGTGTGACGGTTGTTTTTCAAGGATTGTAAATGTAAAACACGTAAAACCACTTTAAAAGGCATATTTACAATCGAATTACTGTATGATTACATATGAAAAGTCAAAAACTAATATTTGCATTGAAAAAAGTGTTTCACAAGACATAATTTTGAAGAGCGTCTTGTATTGAAGTTTTCCCATTATTTTCTAGTTTTTTTGTTGTCTTTTTAGGAAGACAGACATACTCCACTTGATACTACCGTTAAAAAATAGCTCAACAGCTAAAGTTTACCAAAACATCAATCAGATGCAACATATCTTATCTTACTAATATTATAAATATGAAAGTTTGTGTGTTTATTTGTTTGTTTGTTTGCTTGTTTGTTTGTTTGAAGTTTAATCACGCATTAACTAATAGACGGATTGGACTAAAATTTCGCATGATAGCTCATATTCCCGATTAACATATAGGCATATTCTTATCTCAAAAATCCTTTCGGGCTCCGCCCCAGTGGCTCTGTAGTTCCCCATGTTAACCTTTTGAGTATTCATATTTAAAGGTAATTAAAGAATTTAGTCAGCTGTTACAGCAAAAAAAGTTGGTTCTATGATAAAGATGATATGCAAAAGTATTAAAAAATTATAAGATTTACCAACAGGGTGCAGCACTATTTTTTTTCATTTATGAAAACTGCTAATTTGAACTAAGCAGCAAAAAAAAAACTGTGATAGGCAATGAGAACTGCCAAAGTAGGATTGTTTACAGTTATGTTTATGTTTTTAATTTCATGAGTAATTTGTGATATTTTTAGAATTTTTAATAATTTCTTTTTCCTTAATGTTAAGGTGAAGTGGTAGAACATTATGGCTATGGTAGGTGTAATACAATTATAGTATACCGTAAATTTAAAAAAAGTAAATTTTATCAAACTGTGTCCAACCCCATTGCAAACGCTAAGTTAGAGTATAACTGCAATAAGCTTTTTACACTTATATGCCAACCCCGTACGAAGGACGGGTACTCTGCTAGTATATATATATATAAAAGGTTGTGGGGGAACTTCCCTTCAACCGCCTTAATAGTGCGAACGAAATATAATATAAGCCTATTGAAAAATATTAACTGGTTAGATTTCATAAGGACGTAAACTAAAAATATCAATATTATAAAAAAATTGATACTATGTTAATAACACTAAGTAAATAAAACTATAAACAAATTAGTTTAAAACTCATACCTGAGCACATGTTGAGCGGGCACTATCGTAACCGTAGTTGATTCCATCCATTCTTAGTTTCTGTAACACACAATACCACCAATGCCTATACAACTAGTAAGTGAGTTGGTACAGTGGTCGTGGTGTCACAAACTAAACAAACACTCGCGTAACTCCCAATACCACCAATGCATAGCCTAGCCTCGACAACTAGTAAGGGCGGGGGTAAAGCGATCTTGGTAGTCACACACTAAACACTCTGGTAGCTCCTAATACCACGGACGCGTAGCCTAGCCTCGACAACTAGTAAGTGAGTTGGTACAGTGATCGTGGTGTCACAAACTAAACAAACACTCGCGTAACTCCCAATACTACCACCAATGCATAGCCTAGCCTCGACAACTAGTAAGGGCGGGGGTAAAGTGATCTTGGTAGTCACACACTAAACACTCTGGTAGCTCCTAATACCACCAATGCATAGCCTAGCCTCGACAACCAGTAAGTGCGCTGGTACATTGATCGTGGTAGTCACACACTAAACACTGTGGTAACTCCCAATACCACCAATGCATAGCCTAGCCTCGACAACCAGTAAGTGAGTTGGTACATTGATCGTGGTAGTCACATACTAAACACTGTGGAAACTCCTTATACCACCAATGCATAGCCTAGCCTCGACAACCAGTAAGTGCGTTGGTACTTTGACCGTATTAGTCATACACTAATCAAGTCGTACTGAACTGTATGCCACACTCAGCTTAATCTAATCGTCGATTCTTATCGGTTGATATGTTTTATCTGTCAACTTTTTACAAACGCAAGGAATTAAAACCCCTACATTGTTACAATCCAACATTTTAAAGCATAGCTTGCAATTAATTGTCGTGTTGTGCAATAACTAAGGTCTAGATGTGCACTGTACAGCTGTACAGATAACCGTGCAGATAGCTTCATTCTCGTAGGTTAAATGAGTCACTTATAGATGAAAGATTGTTTTATTTTATGTACAAAACTTCAAAGATCTAAGTAAAATTACCGGGCATTTGAACTATTTTTTAATTTACAAAATGTTTTACTAACAATATAATAAAATGTTGATGTTACACGTAATATGAATTCGGATTAAATGACGAGGTAAATTAGGTACTATTGCAATAGTTATAAAATAAGACTTTTTCCTACAGTTACCTAACAATGTACATGTTCTCTCACTGATTTGAGAAAGCAAAGTGGCCAATTCGCTCATCAGTGAGACAATGTTAACATTGTCTCACTCTAATTACTTTGTCTCACTCCAGATTTGCAACGTGAAGGCACGAAATGGTGAACGCATAACATGCAGGCAACGTCGTATGCGCGCGAAATACGTTGGCAGCACTGGCTGTAAATCAGCTGGTCAGCTGTTGTACTGTTGTATTTGTCACTTCACATTAAATGTTATATTGAAAGTTCACTTCTGTGTAAAAATAGGTTATGTTTCTTCACAAATTAATGTATTTGTTTTATGGTAACTGTAGGAAAAGTATAATGTGCAACTCGAGTTCAAAGTACAATTGCCTCACTCGAGAAACCATTCCTCACTCGCCTACGGCTCGTGAGTAAGGATTTCTCTCGAGTGAGTCAATTGCTCACTTTTCTCACTAGTTGCACAAATAACTATTACCTACGACCGTATTTTAAAGTAGACTTCAGTTCTTAGAATTGAAAAGTTTCACTTAACAGCTGTTTACTTTCATAACAGCATAGTTTCATTTCATAACAGCATAGTTTTTCTCATAACAACACGGGTAACGGAACAATGAGGTTCAAGAATTGAGGGAAAAGAAGTAAAATTGTAATGATTCGAACGTCAACTAATCAGCTGATCAGCTGATCAGTTGACAATTTTAATTGTTGATCGTACTTGTTCCTGTTGATACTCACGTATTCTTAACCTGAGTTGGTGGAAGTTAAAGGAAGGTAGATTAAACTGTTTTAAAAATGTCAGTTAGTGAAAGTGAAGTTGACGAGATAGAAATGAGAGCACAAACTGCTTATAATATTCTATAATATTCGATGCTGAGATCTAACTGTAAATTAGCTCTTTCACTATAATCATTCAGTTGTAAAAAAAAAAAAATGCAATATTTCCCTAATTGTACCTGATACAATATTTATGGTAAGAATGCTGCTAGCAGAACCTATTCCCTGAAAAAGGTAACTCATTATTTAACGAAGTTATACAAACACGTAATTACATGAAATCAGCTGATTATACAATAAGTCCTTGCATCACTTTCAGTGGCACTGACAGTAAACAAAAACATAACCTCTCTAAGAAGTTATGAGTAGTGATTGTTAATAAATAAAACCAGATTGTTAGTAATTAAAAAACTGTCGTAGGTAAAGTAGTGTACGCAACTCGCGTTAATAGTCTTCACGACATGAGCAGAAAATTTAAGGCACGAGCCTTGGCGAGTGCCTTAAAAACTTCTACGAGTCTAACTTAACGCAATCGTTGCGTAAACTACTATTACACTTCATTAAGTGATTAGAGGACGAGTTTACAAGAAAGCCCCTGAAGTCCACACAAGCTGACGATATGCATTGAGACTTACCTTACTTAACTTCCTTACCTACAAGAACTCAGGGGGACGATGAAGCTGCCCCGATATTTTAGGCATGTTTTAAACGATGAAACCGCCCCGCTCATTACAGAGCATCAAGAAGGGTCACCTCGCAATACCAGAAATGCTGAAATTGCCCCGAGCGCCCGGCCAGGTAACCGCTACGGGTCTGGGAAAAGGGGAATTTTTGTTGTCCCTGACTGACTACAGTATTATAATAACTACCACTAATATCAGGAATTACTAGCTTATTTTAGGTTACGTATTGGTAAGGAAACAAAAATGAGGGAATTATTGTTGTCCCTGCATTCTATCAGTGACTGCAGTATTTTAATAACTACCACTAATATCAGGAATTACTAGCTTATTTTAGGTTACGTATTGGTAAGGAAACAAAAATGAGGGAATTATTGTTGTCCCTGCATTCTATCAGTGACTGCAGTATTTTAATAACTACCACCAGTATCAGGAATTTCTAGCTTTTTTAAGGTTAGGTTAGGTTAGTTTAGTTTAGGTTGGGTTAGGTATTTGTACAGAAACAATTGTGGCTTGGTAGGAAAAGCAGTCGACGGCAGTTAACTGCAGAAGAACTCAGAAGACTGCAGTCACTGACAAGACACAGGGACAAAAATAAGTCCCTTTTTTCCCCAGTCCTGTAGCGACTACCTGGCCGGGTGCTCGGAGCAGTTTCAGCATTTTTAGTCTTGCGAGGCGACCCTTGCTAATCCTTTTTAATGAACGGGGCAGTTTCATCGTTTCAAAAGTACCCTAAACGTCGGGGCAGTTTCACTACGCCCGAACTCAGACATGAACAACAAAGGTAAATCTAATATAAGTCAAGTTCTTGAAACTGATATGGCAAACATAAAAAAACATCGTAATACCTGCAAAAATGCAAATTACTCGAGATAATCAGTGATTTACTACTACGTGCGAAGGCTTTAAAGTGATTACATTATCAATGGTAATTTCGTTAATAAATTCCTTAAATAATGAAAATATTCATTTTGGGACCATCTAAGTTTGAGCAGTGTTCCCTAGGTCAATTTTTGTTTGAATATACAAACTAAACCACCACTATAAACTTTATTAATTCCATTGTTGTATTGAACGAGCAACTAGATGATTAACGGAAACTAATCCATCACATTATTAGTAGAGTGCTTACTAGTAATCTGAAATTGATTTTCTACCGATTGCCTATAATGTGTACTTATTATGGGGTACCTATTATGTATAAAGATTTCATTATTGAAGTAACTTTCGTCACTGCAGGGCAGACAATATTTTATTTTCATTACAAATAAAAATATAAAACCTTATAGCAAAACAAATATTTGATCAAACTATATGAACAATGCATTTTGAAAATGTGGCAAATTTGAACTATATCCACCACGTTTCCTGCTTCACTTTGTTTCTTCCACAGTCTTGTAAAAATAAAACAGATTTACAAAACAATATTAATCTAACCTGATTTAAAACGTGTTATTGTATTGCTAAAAAAATGTCACCCTTATCGTTTAAGTATATAGATTTATTTTATTAGAATATCAAGGGGACAGACCTATTCTGACAATCCATCAAACATGGTTGGCTTGTGACAGGACGAAAAACAACAAAAGGCTATTGGTGTAATAAATATTATTAATCACCACTAGCTTGCCTATATTACTGTGCCATATTGATTTCAGATCACGGCACAGACAGTAGTCCAACGCAGTAGGCAGAATGAGTTACATGAAAAAACTACAAAAACATAACATTATTTTACATTAATGAATTATTGTATAACACATGGTTTATAGAAATATGTATGCAAAAGGTTTTTCACCACACTATGATGTTTTTGGCTGTATTACATACGTTAATTGGTGGCTGAAAGTTACGTTTTGCTGGCCATGCCAGCTGTCATCGTAATTTGGGGACTGAGCAGGTTTTTACAGGCCGGGGCCGCAAAATCAGCTGTCCGCTTACTTACTAAAACATGAATGCATTTTAAATACACAATCAAAATCCACAGCATTGCAATAGAATTGTGTTATTGTCACCGTTGCCTAGCAACTATTTATTTTAATTTTTGCTGATTCCTCGAATTATTTCTTCACATAACCTTAAAGTTGTAGTTTTGTTGACTATCATTGTGCATTATTATAGTGGTGAATGGTGGTAATAGGGTATAGTGTGGTGAAAAATAGCGTTCGTACCACGGACCGAAATGGTTTTGCAGCTCTCGATCGATTTAAGTTCTCGACTTCGTCTCGAACTTAAAAACTATCTCGAGCCGGCAAAACCTCATTTTCGGCCCTAGGTACGAAATATACTATTACATACCTAACAGTAAACAGTTTTAAGAGACTACGAAAAAGTCCGACTTCAAAACTGGTGAGAAGTTAAATGATTAAAGCATCTATTTTCAATAAGCCAAGCTCGGTCTCCTGAGCCAAAAGGGGGTAACCTTGGCAAAGCTTAGTTGTACTACTATATAAATCTCTGCCGGGTCTCGCCAATGTCAAGGCACTCCCTGCAAACGCTTACCTTGGTGTCTTACTCTATAAGTCAGGCTAGCTACCGTTCTCTATCACCAAGGGATAATCTCAGTATTTCCCAATTATGAAAAACTCTTATAAATATGTCTTATGGTCAAATGATTATAGATAAAATATTATTAGTGATAGGCACTGAGCTATAAATACAACTAGAGTTAGCAATGGTACTTTGCTATGAAATTGACACACTGTATAATATTGTAACCATAGACGGTTGTAACCCGTAGTTCATTTGACAGCAGTACACTCACATCTGTTTGGTATCTTTAGTTCGTAATTTAAATTGCCTAAGGCTAGGCACCTGTAAAAGACAGTTTAAGCTTGTATCCTTCATGGGAAAGTAGGAGATTAAGCTACAGAGTAAAAAGTAGTTTAAAAGTCAAATATTATCAAGGTTGTTTGTTTGTGATTTTCTATATACAAAAATTGATGAAACTGCTGTTGTAATTTAAATTCGGGTTATGTTAAACTAATTATAGTGAGAGTTTTTATTTGTTGTCTTACTAGTGAATGTACATTACATGTTACATGTTACAATGTTACATTCTGTTGGTGTTGTGATATAAATATTAATTTATTTAACGGATAGTTATGTTGTAAAAAGCTAGAAATAAGAGACTTTGAAAATATAGTTAGCATAAAGAAACTAATAATTACTAGCGAAATTATGACAAATGGCATTGGACCATAGATAGCTATTAGATTGACCTCCCTCCAACCCCTAACCTAAATTACTCCCCTTCACCCCCCCCCCCCACACACACACACACGCACACACCCACACACACACTCACAAAAACACTTGTCTAGTATTGTAGTCATGGATAGTCTTGAAATAGTCTTGTCAGTCTTCTGCAGGTATAATGATAAAAACCTAGTGTTTTATTTTCAAACAAGTAGGTTACGCCAACTTGTGTTCATCTACACTGTACTGTATATTTTCTAGTTTTTCTGATTAGGCGGCAACTAGGTTGAGTGGTTAGAGTGTTCAATTTCATTCACCAACGAAAATCTTTAAAATTCATTGTTGTAGCCCCGGAACTGTAATATATATAAAATATCTGGTTTTACAATACCTTTATCAGTTCCAAAAGTAACTTTCGTCAACGTGTGTTACATGTTTCGGCGTAAAAGGTATTGTAAAACCAGATATTTTATACAACGAAAATCTATTAACATCAAGTACAACTAGCTGTTGCAATTTCTTTGCAAACGAACGACACACTGTACACAATGTATACGTGCTGTTTCAAGGTTACCTAATCACTAATCAGCATGTCACGACAATACAGTTATGTTCAGAACCAACAATGTATGCTGAAGTGTTAAGACCTAAGTTCCGGATCTAGAAGTTCAGACTAAAGCACCTTGCTTCTCCAGAGACTGAATTTAACTATTTTTACTTCTTCTATGCAGGAAACCCTGAGATTTTTTCCCTCTAAATTTATAATCTTGAACTAGTGATTAACAATACAATTTTAAAAATATAAGTTCAAAAATAATACGTGAAGGAAAAAACCATATCGTGCATAATATATTGAGAAAGTTAAAAATTTATTATTATAAGACAATAACGAGAAGAACCATAGCCTACTTAAAATGTATCATGATGTCGCATTAAACTCTTAGGCGATTTATTTTATTGTACAAAATTTAATTAAGAGTTAAAGTTCACCAAACATAAAAAAAAACATTTAGTAGCCCCAAAAAGTGACACTTAATAGTAACAATGTCGAGAGAGATTTAATAAAAAAATGTATTAAGGAGTAGGGAATTTTAAAGTTATATACAGATATAGAAAATCAATTCATAATATTTTAATAGGTTTACGATAAATATACACAAAATGTACAAAACATGGCTTAAATATGATTACACCTAAGGAACGATTGTCATAACACTAAGAACAATTCGACAAATATACAGCTAACAGATCATACATAAAGCATTCAACAGTAAAATGGTAGCCTATAAAATGAAAAGCACCTTAACTCTGATGGATAACGACAAGAGGTAAACCATAACAAACCAATTGTAACAGTGTATGTAGAGGAGAAGTAACTTTACATATCAGTTGTGCATACAAGCTGAACAGAAGGGAAATAGCTAGTTATCCCCAGGATGCGAACATATAGATCTAAAACCACAGTTTGAAGGGTAAATACGGTTGTCTTATGTACAATTTATTCTTATACAATTTAAATATAATTTAAATTTCTATCATATATTGCTTGTCTTATAAAATGCTGTTATCAGAATAATCCATAAAATACACAAAAAACTATGTTAAAAAATTATAAGTTATAATATTATATAATATTTCTAACGTAAAAATAACCAACAACGAAATCAACATGAACAGGATATTTTACAAATATCTTTAACAACACAAATTTATTTTTGCTGACTCATGTAACCATGATAGTTTGTTTTGGCTTTGATTACTTATAAACTATAGCGATGTAGAAATTCCATATTACAGTATGTCAAAGCTGTTGTCAGCTAAAACGCTCATATCAAAATTGAGCTTCCGAAAACTCTTTAATTATGTAACAATGAAAGAACAGCTGATTGAAAACCGTAGAATGTCCCGTGAAAATTAGCTATTGTAACCAAATAATAAAACTAATGACGAGAGTATAGTTAAACCATTCTCTCAGAGATGACAATTCACTGCGGATGGTTAAAAAAAAGTAGAATGTCTACTTTAGAACTTAAGATCGATAACATAACTTACTGTCTTTTTACTCACATAAAATAAGTATACACACAAAATAAATATGACCTATGGGATTTAGAAACTATGCTATTTCTAGATGGGAAGAAATATTAAACCATAATCGACATGACTCATAAACCATTTTGATCAGGTATTTAGTGTGCCAGGTGGCAGTGCTTAAAGGGTGGAACACATTGTAGAAAACTTGAAAATTGTCAAGCTAATACTGTTTCACTAAAGGGAGTTATTTGTACACACCTAAGGTCATTGAGCGTAGTAACCCCTTTTAAAAAACGAAGAAAACATTCTAAACATTAGAAAGGTCAACTTAAACATAAAACATTCACTAGAAAACAATTTAACAGAAATACCTTACAGAAGAAACGCCTAACCTAAAATGTATATATAAATATATTTAATATATTAAAATTTGTATTACCTAACATTTGGATTGAATACTCAAATGATAGTGTCTTACGAGAATAATCGTTTTCATTTTATTTTAACTATACATTTTATTTGCAAAAATAGACACTTAAGACATTTTAAGGTCTTTTTTTCTTAAAATTAAAATCTGTCTCAACATGCAAAATAACGCATTTGATAAAGTAGGAAACGATTGAAGTAGTTCGCCAAGTTTCAATCGCTTAACTTGATCTAGAATTTAAACATAATTATTACGTTATTAATTTTTAACATAATCATAAGATCTTTTAACTTTTAGATACAACTTTAAATAACAGAAAAGTATTGAAAAAATATTTTAGTTTATACTTTTTATATTTAATAATAGATTTTATATGCTGAATAAAAATATAAATTTAGATTGACAGAAAAGAGAACAACTGAAAGGTATAAAACCAAAGCTTGAAACTATTATAAAGAAGAGTAGGCTGATAAAAAAGTGTTTTCAGTTTCACCATAAAAGGTTGATCCGCTAAAAAGTGACTAGGATTCTTAACTATCCACATTTAAGTTTTTGGAGTAAAACACCTAAAAAGTACAATAAAGCTGACAAAATGGAAATAAATACCGAATGTCATGACTGACGATGTCAGAAAACTAGCCAAAACGTGCCATTTTTCCTATGTACCTGAACAGTGTGAATCAAGGTAGAAGATCACTTTAAATGTTTATTTTAAACTGTGTTTTCATATTTGCTTGAAGTGATAAAATATTAACTCAATAAAGTTTGCCGTTGACACTGTTTACAGCAAAAATTGTAAGAAAACTATAGGATGTTTCAAAAGTAGAAATGGTAACCCTTCTCAAATCGATGGCGGACAAAATACACCATACAAAAATAAGGGTCTATTGATTGTAGTCAACTTCAATGTAGAATCTTGTCAACATTAAGTTTTTTTAGTAAAAAATACTGAAGGAACCACTGGATCCCATTGGATTTACCGACTTCCCACCACAAAATCTGCCTCTGAATCCACCTCTGAAGCAAAGATATCGTTGAACTTACATAAAATTAATCCAAATCATAGCCTACAATTTAAAATACATCTCAGGACTAAGGAAAATGTACATGGCTAGTCGTGTCATTCAAAACACAATGTTTTTCACGTATTGCACTAATTAATAGGAACTACTCTGTCAGTCTTCTTGCTCTGGAAGAACTTTTCAATCTCCTCCAAGTTCTTCCCCTCCGTCTCTGGAAGACAACAGTAGATGAAGAAGAGTCCAGTGACTCCCAGACCTCCGTAAAGGAAGAACACTCCGTGAAGCCCTAGGAGGTCTTCTATGTTGACGAACGTCTTGGTCACCAGGAAGTACATGATGTAGTAGGCGGCTGAAGATACGCCTCCACCCACACCTCGACCCCTGCACAATGGTCGAAATCGAGCATAAGTGCGATATATATTAGACACTGTAATACCGATCTGAGCAGATGTTGACATGAAATCATCACGTGGCTGAGGACATAGTCTAAAGTAGTTTTAGTACATGAGTCAATACATGACGTATTAAGGTCATGGGGTCATACCATTGAGGTTTTATAAAGTAAATTACATTATTAAGACATACATTAGATTCAAATTGGCTATCTCAAGTAGAATCTGAGTTAGTTAACAGTCACAAAAGATGCACAGATTGTAAACTATTGGATGATTTTACTGATGGAAGGAACAACCAAACACAGTTTGTCCAGAAAATGGTTTGTACACAGTATTTTAAGATTCTACACACAATTGTTGACCTATATATTTCACAAAAATAATATTTTACTTCGTAACAGTACGAAATAGAAATGAAACATGTACAAATAATCAAACATAAGTAGAGAACCCGTGAGGCTCAATGATCTCCATGATATGAAGCATAACGCTGAGGAAAACGTTATGCTTAAATTCGAGTAATTCTAGTTACATCTTAGAGTTGTTTGAAAACTTGTTAGAAACTAATTTTAAATATCTCTATTTGCGTCGCGTCGTCAAGGTTCACATACATTATTTTTTATCTCAGTTTTAACTGATAACTTCTAATGAATGCTAAACGCTCTGCTTCAATTCGAGTTAACATGTTGCAACAAAGTTTTTCCAGTATTGAGAATTGAAGAAAACTGTTGCCTTACTGTGTTAAGTAATTTAAGTTGGGTCATTTTATTTCTTTGATTTGAGACATCCCCCTAAACCAACGAATTTTCCCCGTAGAGAATCCTGAAAAGTAGGGTGATATAAACCATTTTATTTACTCCATTTCTATCCACAAACTCTGGGTTACCAACTGGACAGCCATAATACCTGTCCCAAAGTTTAGAAAGTATGGATTTATTTGTCGAAATAGGTTGGATAACTCTTGTAGCTATAATATTTGGATATAATTTTCATTTTCTCTCTTTGAACAGCGTATATTATTTGCCTCTCCTGAATCATAAAAATAAACTTGACCGTAACTACTCGATCGTTAAATACATAAACACTAATTCCTTCACTTATGTTTGATCTAATATTGCCACTAAAACTTTCAATAGCAAATGAGTGTTTGAAACTTCCTATTTTTGACTTGAAATGTCAGGATTGTGTTGGTGAATTCAGTCAAAAAACTGTGTATAAGTTTGTCCGAGGAACTGGAAACATAACCTAGAAGTAAAAAATCCACTTGCGCTTTTCTCAATTGAAGTAGAGCGAGTAATACAAACGTTTACAATAAAAACATAAGGTCCGCCAAAATTTGGTATAATCTAACTACTTGAACTTATCGTAGCCAAGACATTATTATAGTTTCTACTAAATGTTTTGAAATATCTCGATCTGTCAGTGTCAGAAGTAAACATTTCTTGCATGCATTTATTCGATCTGACATTAATCAAGTTTACTTTACCACCGTGACAACACGATGTGCTTCGTATATTTTTTTTTACTTCCAAAGTAAGTTGCATAGCCGAACTGGCAATTATTATTCATCTCACCAAGTGAATGTGTATCTGGATGGGTATTTGTTAGACCAGGTATCTCTTTTTCTACTTTTCTCATACGCATAAGATATTTATTATTAATCGTCTCATCCTCCCGTTTTCAATATTTCTTCTTTGAACTTGAGACATTTTCTGTTCTTCCAACAAAACTGATTAACTGTTTAACTTGGTATTAACATTGACTATTAGATAGATAGTCATAGGTATACCTACTGAATACCTGGTGGATTAACCTACTGAATATTACAAACATTAATATTGACTCCCAAAAAGCTAATGAGTTTCTTTTTATAAACAGCTGTGTTTTTGATATTAAATTTGTTATATGTATTTCTTATGGGGGAAACTCCGGTATGGATCATAAACATAAACAAATGACGTTGTTGGCCCAAATCCTATACTAATAGCATTAACATATGTTTTGACAGTTCCATTTAAGCATTGCTAAATCATGTTTATTTTCGGGCCAAAAACGTCATTTGTTTATGTTTGTGATCCATAACGGTATTTTTCTAGTATTCGTTGGAAAACCCGACTTTTGAGAGGGTCTCACACCCTTAAGGGTAGGACTTTTAAAACCTTATTGCAAAACTACATATTGAGACGAATCTTTTGACACCTTAAACGTTGGAATTGGTCCACAAATAGGGAAGGAGTTGTGTGAACAAAAACGGCTTATATTCACGTATTATATATTGTATATATCATATAACTGTTTTACACATAATGGTGCTTTTAATATGTAAACTATAGAAAGAGCGAAATCAATTGCTCAATTGAAATAAAATAATTAAATTATATAGGTTACGTAGGAATATATTCAACTAAGATTGTTAGGAAATTTTGAAATTCCCTTTAAAGCAGGTACAGTATTTCAGACGTGAGCATCAAATGATTACAGCTTGGCCTCTGACTTGGTAGGTTTGAAGACATTGCTTGGTGCCTTCAATAAGAGAACGACACTCTGCACATAACATTCAGGCTGGGCAAGCAGCATAGTACTATTGAAGGCAGTTGTGGAATTTCTCTTGCGTTTATGTCTGAGTGTTTCGTCTAATTTAAGTATATCTAAATTGTAACAGAAGCTCCATATTGAGCATTTTGAAGTTTATTGAGAAGTTTATTGAGTTTAAAGATTTACAGAAAAATATGTTTTGATTAACCTATTTACTTTTTAGACAACAACAATGCAAAAGTTGTGATGTAAAAAAATGTAATGAAAAATGTAGAAGTTTGATGCTAGTAATCAATAATATGATATTTGATATTAAATTTTCCTTAAAGAGAATTTTACTAATATTAAAACAAAAAACAATTGTTAGAGTATGATAAGTAAATTACTTTAAATATTGGAATATATCATCATGGTTTTTAACTATTTTTTCCCCGATTACTTTGTGTGGTTAAAAATGGTTTATTTGGTCAATTCAAATTTCTCATAGCATCATTCTAATAAAACGGCACATTTCTGAATTATTTTCCTTAAACGTTTCATTTAGAATAGTTTCGCCCTTCAAATCAATTTTGACTTTATAAGTGCTGTATTATTTAACAGTCAATTTAACTCGTTGTTTTAATGAAGTGTAAATACAACTCGGTGTTGGATTATGGTTCAAATCCCAAGACCCATTAACAACTGCTAATAATGTATAACTACGCAATGCAAACCAGTGGGAAACGTGTTAATCAATCACTCAATGTGGCTAGGGAGTTTATAGATTAATTGTTAAGTATACAAATACAACTGGTTTAGTGTTAGCTAGGTTGTTACTATACATATTTACAGTTTGAAATAAATTACAGTATAGTTCACGTAAACTATTATTGCTGATTGTGATTCGATGTATACAGGATGAACAACTTAAATGACATGATAAAATATACACAAGAAATTTCAAAGTTGGCTGCCATATTGGAAAATGGAGGCTTAATTTCGAAAAACTAAATTCTTATTTTTAACTGCCACAAAAAATAAAGGAATGTCCTCCATTTAAATTTGTCTCTAATTGTTATCGTTTCCCATATCAAAACGGTGGCCTCCTTGAGTTGATCACCCTGTATTATTCAACGTTCAAGTAACTACTTGATTGATATTTACGTGTTATTTAAATTATGTAAATTACTACTTATTTCGTAGAGGAAAAAGAGCCATAAGTAAGACTTAAACCTAATCTTTCAGCAGCCCTAAGGCTTTGTGGAGCTCATGTAATTGTCACTTTCGTGCAAAGTCCATATCATTGTCCTCATTTAACCTTCTGCGATGTACAACGCGGAGGGGCTCGACTAGTGTTGCCAACCTTAGGTTGGAAAAGGGACATCCCCTCCCTCTCCCCGAGTAACATAGGCTTAAATACGGGCATAAGGAACCAGTACTCTTTGACATATATCTTTAATATATATATATATACATATATATATATACACACATATATATATATATATATTTAAATAGCATTCAAGTGTAACTTTAGTATTTACGAATAGCGGTGGTTGAGAGTTGTTTTATAACTAAGTCTATCCATTCCAGCAAACATGCCTCTCTACCCCGTAACAATAAATTATAATATACTGAATAAATCTTTACCTCGTAGGGAACACCTCGGATATAAGTGCCCAAGGGACGGCGGCGATGCCGATGTTGGTGAAGAAGAAGAGAGCTGCAAACAGCCCGAGGGGTATGAGGGGCTGGTGGAAGCCGTTGCGAGCGGCGAGGGCGTAGCCCCCCAGTGACAACACCGAGGTGGCACACATGAACATGGAGATGAGGGATATCAGCCGCTTGCCCGCCCGGTGGATGGTCAACATGCAGATGATGGCACCGGTGATCTGCAACAGCGCTGAGGCAACCTGAAAAGAAGAGTTGGAATTATGAGATGCTTTTCAGAATTTTCGTACTTGGCGTAAATTATTGGGCTCTCAAGAATAGTTGTTAAACCGAACATGCAAATTGTAAGAAGATCGATGATGTTTAAAGGAGTTGTTTGAAGTTTTTCATTGGAGATATTCAAAATATTGGAGATATTCAAATATAACAGATTTCCCAGTATTTGTTTATTTCATGCTCATTTCAATGCCCCTATGAAAATATTTGACAAGTTTTGATAATCTAGATCACGTTTGATAATTTGGTGCGATTTTATCAAGAAAAATTTTTGATCAAATTTTTAGTTGATGTTCACTGAAGAAGTTAGTCAAAACTTGATCGAACTCGGTCAATTAGCTGATCAACTATTCTACTTGAGCAGCTTCGATCAAGGGTCTTCCCCGCCCCTTGGTGAGGAATAGGCTAGTTCAGCACCAACGTCCAAACGTCTCAGTTGTGTGCGCCACTCGGTATTGTTTCATGATACACATCTTTTCATTTTATTTACATGTCATGCACATCATTCAAGTTGTGGACTACGTTTTAAGCTTAAACTTTTAAAACTTAAAAACCAAAACAATCATCAACATTTTATGGCATATTTCATACATCATATTTAATACTGTGTAAAGTGAAGGGATCAAATGTTACAGATTACAACAGATTTCTAACAGTTGCATTTTGTACAAAAACGTTCTGAAAGTTCAAGATAGTCTATATAGATTGGCTCTACATATTATTCAGAATTAAATGGCTTTCATAGTTCAAACACGATACATAGCTTAATTATGTGATATAAGTGTGTTAAATACAATTTTACGATTTCACTAGATATGTCCTTCAACAAAAGATAACACGAAACCTGTACTTACAGTGAGCCAGTAGGGGTCGACAGTGAGTTCGAACCGTTTGAAAGTGATGACCATGTACGGCCTAAGCCCTGTCAGTGCTCCACAGTGGTAGAAGAAGAAGTAAAGGACTACGAGTCTCAACGGCCTCATCATCTCCGGCCGTGTGAGGTCCTTCAGCTTCTCACAGAACGACAGAGACCCTCTGGGTGGCCGGGACTCCTCCAGCCGAGGTCCTGTGAGAAAATAAAAATGAAAATGTTCTTAAAAACAATTATTTTAAGGAGGTAATGCATCTTAGGGGTTGTCCTTAAATTTACATATTGGCTTGAAAATAATTTTCTATTCCAATAAAAATGAGGCAAACCTCAGTAGCTTAACCTTATTCTACCACATTTTACAACTTAAAAAGTCGTATTCTTCATTTTATCTTTATATTTACTCAAGGAATCAGTAGGTAAATTATGTCCCCACCTTTTTTGAACACCCTGTATAAAATTGTTTCAATGCTCATGTTTATTCATTTATTATTGATGATGTTATTTCACTACAACTCTTCAAAAGACAGTTTAATGGATTATTAATTACATTTAAAAGTAGGATTAAATTTCCTAGAATGAACGCTCTGATTTACATTGTATAATTCAAAAAACGGTAAAAAAAACTGAGGATACAGTATTGAGATTTCTCTTTGAGGGGCTTTTTCAGCTGCTTTTAGTTAACAAAACTGTATTTGCCTATATTCAAAATTGTTACATATTTGGATTGCAGACTCCCAAGCAAAGTGCAATACTTTTCTGGATCTAAATGAACACATTTTAGTAAAACTATTTTTATTCTTTACTATTTTATGCATTTAGCTATAGAACAAAATCACAAAAAATAATATAGACATTGCTTCGCCCATGATCTTTTGAACAGGTATTTTTTTTTACAAAAGGTGTAGTGAAAGCGTTTGAAACGTACCAAATACAGGTTCAATGCTACAATGCACTTACAGATTACTATTGAGTCCTACAATCAGTTTGAAACTAACCAACTAAAAATTATATATAATCCAAATTTATTTATTATACACTAATTTATAATGATCGCTGTGACATGGAATCTATTCCAAATACTCCAATAGGCCTACTACATGGAGAATTATAATGGCGGTAGATGCGGTCTAATGCCGACACTAGTCTACCGCAAGTAACTATGTATGTCTGTGCCGCTGCGGTCAGGCTAGTCAATTTACAGCATTCAGATAAAATGCCGAAACCGGTTTCGAACCTGCTGCAACCGTCTGTCACTTTTTGCCCATCTTTATTCTTTATTCTTCACGATTGTCAGTCAATCTGTAAATCTTTATACCAGGTCTACACTTGTTTTAATGCCAATGTGAATATTGAAGTAATTTTTATCGTGTGGAGCTGATGTCCGAATTCTATAATGAATAACAGTTTATGTAAGTAGAGTATGAAGTTTACTCTAGGTCGAAAACCGTGACATTTAAGTAAACTGTAAGTAAGGTGTGAGTAAGGTGTACTTATTATTGATATTAGCAAATGTTCGGTGCAAACCATTATACTTGGGAAACATTACTAGTTCTAGCTAACGTTAGTAAATCAACAACTGGCAACAAAAAATCTTAATGTCTACGATTACATTGATTATTAATTTGTTAAATAATACGCCAATGATCAATGTATGGCTAAATAAATTGCTGGCCTTAATCTATAAGAAATATACAGTATATTTCACACTCATTTTGCGTATTTGAGTTTGAATACATCTTTTTTAAATCTCATCCCAATATAGCAATAAACGATGAAGTAAAATTGTGCTGAACGAAAGATAATGTATGAAAGTGACATCAAACTAATCAAGTGTTAAGGGAAGTACTAGTAATTTGAGGTTAATAATGATAAAACCAGTTTGTGAGATATTTCAGGTGCTAGAAATATATTCGGATATCATTCTTTATATTGGCAAACATTAGTGCTGTCATTGTTGCAAAAGTTAACAAATATTCTGTGCACTAATATCCAAATAACGCAGAGTCAGATGTCGGAACAGCTGACCGATAGCTGATAGTTATCGCTGATGTGACAGATCAATAAACTAAAACTTGGACGATGTCTAATAACTGACCTATTGGAATTGGTGCAAAATTTAGAAGTTTTGACTATTCATAGAACTCAAAACTCCATTCCCATGTTAAATTTGTCACCAGGCGCTGATGTAAGTAACTGAATTCTGGCGAATATTAGGGGTTTTCAAGTAAATCAAACGCATGTAGGATGACTTATTGTAAGCTATAGCATCTGTTATGCCCCATGAACTATCTCGATCAAAAAAAGGACGAAATCAAAATTTTAAACAGTAGCACAATCTATAGCTGGCTCTAAGGAATTACGTTATTTTAACATAAAATTGGGGACAATTGGTCCATATGAGATGTCTACTTTAATACCCCTAAAGTCAATGGTAGAACAGAATCATACTGAATTAAGTAAGTATGGAAGTAGGGCTTTGGTCCTTTTATTACCTGTGTCACCAAAAATAAGACCATGTTGTTCAAAAGTTTAAACAAGTTTTCACGGGTGCTTTTGATCAGCCTTTAGTTAATTTTGTAAAGGGAAATGAAATAATCCTACAATACGAATAGTTTTTGGAAAACAAGGATGAACTAGTTGAAACATAAATAGCTCAGATAAATGGAATGAATGTAAATCTGTTTGAATTCATTTACAATTATTATTAAAATCAATAACCTTGTGAGGAAAATGTACCTAGTTCACATAAAGGGAAACAGATTACAAAAACTAGTTTTTTCAAGTTTTACAAATCAGTAGGAAAGGAATACAAGAAAGTTTGCCAATAAAATGGAATAATAGTGGGCGAAAAAATGTTGAGAAAATAAAGGAAGAGTTTGTTTTAAACTCCCGTCCAGTAAAATGTCTCAAGAAATTAAAATTGACATTTGAGATTGCTCGGGGGAATAATTTTGACAGTGAATAAGCTAGCATTTACTAAGAAACGTAATTTTTCGTGTAGGCTGCTAATTTGTTAGTAACCTCACTGACAATCCTGTGGTAACATCCAACATAGACTATGTACATAAGGTCTATTCTATTTTTACACAACTATTTATACTTAGCAATTTCACTTACTTAGCAATAGTAAAAGATGCTAGTCGAGATTAGTAAGAAAAACATTTTAACATTAAACAACCGTTTTGTCTATCAACCTGCCTTACGTAACTATTTTAGATGTCGTTTACTAATTTATGTATTTCAATAAAAATTGCAGCTGAGGCCAAATTGACCACGCTTGGGGTTAAACAAACTGGCAAATTCTAGGTCCAAAGTAAAGTACATCATTGGTCCACTCAGTCAGTAATACAGTATTGAAATATTTCAAAATATGATGAGTTTTAAATGTTACTGGACGTATCAAGTCGTTTTAGCGAATTTCCCTATAGGAAAGTAAGCTATTACCGTAGGTGGCATGGTAAGACCTAGACCCGGGACCGATTTACTTTTTTCATTTTGATGTCCCCAGAGGCCAAAAACACCATTCGTTAAAATTGTTATATATGTATATATATATATGTGTGTCCGTGAACGCGATAACTTGAGTAATTTTTGTCCGATTTTGATGAAATTTGGTTTCAAGGTGTAAAGCAGGATATACTTGAATGAGTTCGCGAACCAGCATGATCGGACTATGGGAACGGGGGTTTATGGGGGGTTTTATGGGGTAAAAATAGGTTTTCCCCATTTTTGACCCTAAAAACACAAAATTTCACAATTACTTTCCAAACCATTATGTAAAGCTTAAAGAAACAAATAATTTAGTATTTTGAAGCGTTATTATGCGCCTAATCGTTACGGAGAAAATTAAAAAAATTTTAATTTTAAAATTCCCATGTTATTTTTATGGAGAATAAGTCAACTGTTGTAGTTTGCTTATTTATGAACATATTTTGATCAAATTTGGAAAATACATTAATTTCTTACTAAACTACAATACCTATTAACATTTTACATTAAAAAAACACTTTTTTACCCTCCCTGTTGCAGCAAACCTAAGTACTCGTTAAACTAATTCTATTTAAATAGGGAATAAATGTGATATATTTAAGGAGACATTTTAGTGTAAATTCAATTAGGCAAATGGAAATTCGCTAAGTCTTCAGGTTTGCTGCGGCGGGGGTATTATAAGGAACAGAACAGTCAGTAATGCCATTCAAACCCATCATACTATTTGATGCCCCCACTTCATCATTATAATAACATACGTTTGTACATACCATTGCCATTCTTGGGCACCTCTATGTAGATTTGCCCCTTGCGTGGGGACCGGGTATTCGGAGTCCACTTGGGGTTCTCCAGTCTAGACTTCTCGTAGTAGGCCTGGAGGTGAGTGAACTCTCTCCTAACCTCCGAAGGAGTCACCCATCCTCGCAGCCAACACAGGGCTGCCTCTGCTTCCACCACGCGCCCTTTCTTGAGCAGCCACAGGGGCGACTCCGGTACCTGGGGAAGAAGAAATATAGAGATGTAGCCAAACGCAGATTTGTAAAAAAATATAGGTTGAGAATGTGTATACTTCTAGGATTCGAGGTAATACATTTGACCCACAAAACATATATTTACAAAACCCGAGGAAAAGGGGCATTTTGAAGTGCTGTAAAAAAACCCTACGAAAAAAACTCTTAAATTTGTACGGTTATAGTGGGACATACCATGCCAAGCACTGCAACGTGCAGTGCAACGCTGTTATGTGTACGAAAAGGCTTGTGTGATGCGCGTTACAATGACATCTACGTATTTTGCTATTGTGGGGTATATGTGTATGTGTTTAAAATTGTAAATAAATGTGAGGGAAGCTCACATAATATATATCAATATACTCAAATGTTTGAGGTTCGGGAAGGGTTGGGCAGTTAACAATAACAGCATACATATTTGGTTTGCATGGAAAAGGTTTTGACCGAATAATGTTTTCTAAAACTGATCCTTTATTTTTTTATTTACAATGTAACTAAAAAAAACAAACAAAAAAAACGAAACAATAAGTACGAGATATTTCGATAATTGGATCAACAACCATCTAAAACCATTGAGTCATATCCATTAATTTTGCTTAAGACAATTTAGTGTACAATAGACTGTTACAATTTTACAACTCTCATTGTTACAGAAAGTTAACAATGGCGGCTATTGTTAAACGATTCACAGCTTAAAATAGGTCAATAGTGTTCTTTATTCATTTAGCAGTCTAATTTTGATTCCAACGAATAGTCGAAAACGCGGAATATATTGTGGTTTTAGAACATGTCATATGTATCTACAGTATCTCTTAGAAATATTAATAATATTAGACAAATTAGGGACACGGATAATCTTATATAAAGTTTCGATATGACCTTTTGAGGCTTCTCTGAAGCTAGTCCTACTTGGCCCATTGCCAATGTTCTTAAAGATCAATTTCCTTAGTAAAAAAGAGGTTATGTTAAGCTCTGCATCGAGTATACATTATACGAAATACCCTTAATAGCTGTAGGCTACGTCAGAATAGTTTTTGATCAACCATATTATTCATCAGATTAATTGAGATTTGGTCCGTTGTTCTTCAAGCATATGTATTAGTTATGCGTTTATTAAGTGTTTCATGCGAATTTACACCAAAAAGACCAACATTTATGGTCCTAAGTCAAATTATTTTGTTCTTTTAAAGTTGATTAGGTGTTTTTTTAACATTCAAAACATTAGTCTTTAAAGTTAAAACTAAACACTTAAACTTAAGAAGAGGGAAGCAAATAGTGATTCAATAGGCTACATTTTTTGAAACTGGTCCAAATCAACAAAACAGGAAGAAAGACGCCTAGAAGTAGAGGAAAATGTCAAGCCATACATTCATAGATAAGGAATGGATCTGAATAAACATTAGCCACGTGTTTGGTAAAAAACGTGGAAATGACACAACATTCTTTGTATTAAATTACGTGATTTGAATTCTGTTTGACGAAGATCTTTATTTGACTCGTATAAGTAAAATGGCCATGCTGGCGAAATAAGATGATATTGCACTTTGAGGGGGTTTTAGGCAGCTTTTGGTTTAAGCTGCTTCACTTCACATAATGCTATTTTGTGTTTTAAAATGTTCCAATTGCCCACTAAATATTTTACCCTATTTCTAGAACGAATAAAGAAACAAGCAATGCCGTTTTCATTGGAAAGAAAAAAAGTTTGAGAAAGTGTTTTTTTACATTTCCTACTAAGATAGTAGAATTTGACAAATTATACTTTTAACATTAATAAAGTTCACATTAAATATATGAGATAATAGACTATAAAACGGTACCAAAATCATTTCTAAAACGTGTAACCGAAATACATACATACATTATTATAGATACTGTACAAAAGATTAATGTACATTTTCATTGTAGTGAGGTATTTTACTTACTTAAAAACCTATAAATAAGTGACTATTATTGTACATAATATTAGTAATCATAAACAAGTGTACGGATTGGTGAGACAACACTTTATTATTGATAATGTATGCAAATAAGTTCTTTTACATATCATTTTTGTTACAACTATTTACTTTTCCAGACGCTTAATCGGTACAAAGTAAAGAAGATTATTTATATCATTTTAGAAGATTTTTTTAACTTGAATATCTATAAACTCTAACAATAGTTAATAGAAAGACTTTTTGTGTTTTAAGAAACATTTAAAATGATATAAACAATATGTTAACCTAATGACCAGTGTTAACGAATTATATTTTATGTTTGACTTGTGCTCATGTTTGTACAGCAATACATAATTATTGTTCAACGTCAAAAAACCATTATACATTTAGTGAATTACAAAATTATTATGTTGTCAGATCAAGATTTATATAATTTTTCAGGGCCCACTTAACATATTACAACCTATGGCTTGACATATATTTTTACTTAGTTAAGTTATTCAAATGTTTTTAAAGTCGTCCATTGGAGATGGGTATTCAAAACCCTCTCTAGTAATTTAATATAGAAGAATGTCTGAGAAAAGGACAAGACCTCGGGATTAACAGATTAGAAGCCGTCGTTATCCGATGACGTTTAGTCTCAAGATAGAGAGAGAAACGAAATGAGAGAATCCTTCCAAGTTCCTGGTCTCATCAATATGTAGGTCTTTTGGTGATTTAAAATGTTGAGGTTGTTTTGATTCACATGTATTCTTTTTTGAGTCACAAAGAAAGATATTTTATAAAATTTATCATTGTTTCTAAACTCAAGGCTGGTATATCGCCCAATCTCTGAGTTGTTACCGACACATAATGAAGCCCACTCTACTTTAACTATACTTACTATACTAACTATACTTTATTGAAACTTCTAAGGCTACCAAAATTCGTCAGCGGAAAGAAAAGAATGGCTTGAAACGTGCGATATTTTTAAGACTAGGTATCAAACATTTGATCAGAGGTTGATTTTTACAAAAGACCTTCACAAAAAAAGGATTGCACGATAAGGAAGTAATGAGTTAGATCTTTGATTCGTAGATAACACAAAATGGATATTGGAGAAACTGTATAGTAAATCAAACACAGCTTAAATCGTAGTGTAGTCAATTCAACCGAAGGAAAACCTCAAGGAGATTGAAATATCGATATTTTTTTGAGATATTAGGTTTAACATTGTATTTTAGGTCTCATGTTGAAATTGGATCTAATGCTATGTCTGCTTTTTGGGAAATTCTGACGAATAGATAGGTTTTTAAATTATCTTGTAAAATGTTATTTTCGAGTTTTTAGTGTCTTAATCCGTAGTTTATCTAAAGCTTGTATCAAGATTTCGTTATGAGAAGCGATTTTAATTAATCTTTAGTTGAGTACTTACACTACAGTACATATCAACGACAAATCTTTGCGTCACAAAACCATTCTTTCATCAGGTAATCCTTTCAATAAGTGGATGTATTTTATAAAGCTAGGGCCATTGGGATAAAAACAAAGACAATATGAACAGGTTTGTATGTTTGTTAGAGCTCTTTGCAATTGCTAATGCAAAGTAGAACCAGGATTAAGTAACAATTTCACTAAGAGACTTTCATTGAGATTATCGTACATTAGTAAAATTTCATCAGCAATACACTAAGGCTTAAATGAATAAAGTGAGGATTATTGACACAGTATGTGGGTGTACGAAAAATAATGAAACAGAATAACAGATTTTGAAGTAAATGGTATACTTGTAATTGTATACCAAGGCAAGTAAATGAAACCACTCTTCTTTAATTTGGTAGGATCCATGGGAACCAAAAACACATTTTTTTTTTTGGAATAAATAATGCTTAGGCTGATTACACCGGTGCCATAGACGTCATGTTATAAAACTCAAATTGCCATGCCCATCCATAAAAAAATGCAAAAAATGAATATTACCTGAGAAATGGCAATTACGGTAAGCACCGGCATGATTGCGCTACAGGCAGACGCGCTCCGCCAGTCTAGCAGAGTTCCTAGGAGGTACATGACCAGGTAGCCTATGGGCACCTGCATGGAGGTCAGTGTACACATGTTGGCCCTCAGGTGTGGTTGGGTGATCTCACCCACGTATGAGAGGCAAGGAGCCTCCATGAATCCTGGGAACACACAAGATATAACAGTGAGACTAGTCTAGCAGAGTTCCTAGGAGGTACATGACCAGGTAGCCTATGGGCACCTGCATGGAGGTCAGTGTACACATGTTAGCCCTCAGGTGTGGTTGGGTGATCTCACCCATGTATTAGAGACAACGAGCCTTCATGAACCCTGGGAACGCAGAAGATATAACAGTGAGACTAGTCTAGTAGAGTTCCTAGGAGGTATGATGAAGTATATTATAGGCTTCTGAATGGAGGTCAGGAAACACAATGGGTATGGTAAACGATAATATAACATAACAAATTAATATTTAAAGAAAATCATAACTAGAGAAAGAACAAAAAGGAGTTAAGATTGATAAGATAGGGGCTTAAAGTAGTATAATCTAGAGGGTATTTTATCGTGTCAGGTGGTTCTATAAAATTTGGCCACACTAAAATGAGAGTATAGAGCCTATAAAAAATTGAGAGTTTAATATATTTGCATCTAAACGTTACATATATCGCTAAATGTGTTTCATCACTATGTTTGCTAAGTTTCCTCAAAACGTTACACTTGATTTCAACTAATAATCGTATACACCATAATAGGTTATTCTTTCCTTTGGAAGGAAAATACTTTTGTTCAAATTTTATTCGCAAAACTTGTTTCTCCTGAAAGCTGTACAAATTGTACACTTGAAATGTATATTTTTTCACTCATACTGTTTTCACTAGACGGTACATAATATATAAATATAAATCATCATCAGACCCAACAGGCAAATGAACTTGAAGCTTTCCTCGGAAACATAATACATAACATAACTGTTAAACCTGCCAATTTAGATTCTGGCACTCACCTATACTGAAGCCCATCATCAGACCAGCGAAATACAAGACAGCCAAGTCTTGAGCAAAGTACATCAGCAGCCAGCCTGCTAGTTGGGGAATAGCTACGAACATCATGCACTTCTTCCTACCAGCTGCTTCACTCAGCACTCCGCTCAGCACGCTTCCCATTGGCTGGAACGCTAGAATGATGCCAGCTGCAACAAGGACCAAACATTAGTAAAGCATTTTGCTATTCACATTGTTTATAGTCCATAATAATTCCCGTCAAAAAAAGCTTTGAAATTTTAGTCAACTTGGTGTTGTGTATTGCAGTAGGTAGAGTTTTGATTGTAATAGCAAGAACAGCTCATAACCCTAGCCCTATCGAATTAATTAGGCTATCTTGGAACCATTTTCAAGTGGTCAAAAATGGCATCATTCCTAATCACATGTTCCATAGAATAGTGTACATATCGTTCACTGGAAAGGGATTCCAATACACTTATTGATTATTATAGGTTCTGAACACCGAATGTCAATGTTACATACAAAAATACTGTTTTTAAACTCTAAGTTCGAAGATATTTTAAACAGTGTCGTGGTCATAGCATTATTTCGGAATCATCAAGCTAAGTAAGAAACATTTAAGTTCGATTACTGGGCAAATCTGATTCGTCAAAACAAGAGTTAATCAGATTAACTCAGTGCAGCGTAGAGAAAACCTAGGTGATTACTGGGATATGAAATGCAACCTCGTAAGTCCAATTCTTTGTTTTAATATAAGAAGAGACAAATTTATGCTCGGACACGAGGTGAGTAAAAACAGTAAATGGAGGACATTCCACAACAAGTTATAATCACACCTTGGCCCCAAACTGTAGTTTGTCGTTAAATACATATAATTTATCCTACGCATTTTTGAAACCAATTAATAGGGACAACTGCAGTCAATGAAGTCAATTATAAGTTCATACAACAATTAATCGCAGTTCAACAGGGGTCATAACTGATTAGAACTAATTGATCACACAATAATTGACCTAGGATTCACAAGAGATGTGGCATCTAGTGCTGATTCACATATCAAAGTTAAAGTTGACTTTAAAATACCAGAGATATTATAATAGAGGACAAGCACAAACCCCCACACACACGATGGCACTTCAACTGATTAAAACCTATTAAAACAACTAGGCATTCCATCCCCATGTTAAAGTTTTCGCCACTATTTTTCTTCGAAGTTGGTGCGAAAGTCTTTCCAGTAGAAAATAAAATGTTTTGCACTAGCGCTTTCTGTGACTGGCTCACACAACTAAGTTCATAAAAAAAAAACTTGACACTAGGTCCATAGGATATCTAATTCAGAATCCAATAGTAAATGGTAAAACTTACTGTAGCTATTTCCTCAGTTCAATACTTCATATTTTAATATAGTTCTGTTTTTCTTTTAATGTACGTCATATTATTTTCTTTTACAGTTAACTCTAAAATACTGTAGCAAATAGTAGGAATCGTAAATAGACGATAAATTTAAAATTTCCGTGTTGTTTTTGTAAACAGAAACTATAAAAACAACACTGCTTGACGCCAAAACTACTTAGGTTAGTTTTGTTTACGATAAAATTGTTTCATTTACTTGAACAGCTTATAAATAAACCAGTCTTGAACACGTCAATATCAACAACCATTGGAAAAGTACACCATGCACGTGTAAATACATTCATTTAACTGGTTTTTTTTTCAAGATGTTAAATGTTTCCCCCAACCAATTATTTCAAAACTAAAAAAAAACTAGGCCTAGAAAAATATTATATCACAAACGTTTAATAATATGGCAAAATAAGTGTTGCAATCGACACTGGATACTTCAACCAGACCTCTTATATCATGTTTATGTTTGGAGCTTGTTATGAGTGTGTTTCATTTAAGGGTAACGTTTTAATACCAACTCTGTATTTAATTTAAATTTAAGTTAATTTCACAGCATTTTCTACTTTGGTTAAACACAAAAGAGCAAGAAGTCATTAGAAATAGACTGCCTTATCATTAGTTACTACACTAATAGCCTACGGAATTGTTTAGTAATGATAATCTTAAAGTTAGTTAACTTAAAACCTAACCTCTCAATGTGTGTATCTTTATTTAAACTTAACATAAAAAACAATATGCGTTAATAGCCTTAACATTAACATACTCAAGAGTCTGGTGTAGGCATGACTCTGTTAGTATGTCCAATATAGGATTGTGTACACAAATCCGTAATTTTACAGAAAGTAAATAGCCAGATAGGAATGCAAATTTGCCAAAAAGAGACGTGTACTAAAGAAACATAAGAAATGGGTTTACTTTTTTTTTATTTACAGAAATGGTTATGAAACATCTAATCGTCTAAAACACAGTCACTGTATCTTTTCTTCGTTCCGCAACGATTTGAGATTTTATTATTTAATGGGAGTCCTCGAAGGTCCTGAAAAATCAGAAATGGGTATTTGATTATATCGGGATGAATATCTCCCCACTACCTCCGCTTACTCCCACTGGAGGCTCGTCTGGAGCGACACACGGATGTTGCAGATTATATAAGCAGTACTGCAGCACGGCCTTGACCCAGCCCTAGCCTACACTATCGGTTATGTAACTTTATAACTGTGCTGAGACTAAAATACCAGAACTGCTGATTCCATTCTAATGTGGTCAAACTCATCGATCTTCAAACTACATGGGTGAAGAACAATGGGTCAAGATAAAAATGTTAATTTAGATGTCGGAGGTTGGATATGTCCCGATGTTTCTTAGGTATTATATAATGTTGAAACATTATGCAATGTTGAAACCATGTATATAAGTACAATAATCTGATGTTTGGGTAAAAATGGTAACGTGTTATTTTTAGTATATTCGTTGAAAATACAATTGATAAATCATATTTTTTAAATTTATCAATGGATTAGATTTATGATTGCTTAAAGTGTAATTGTGATGTTCTCTCCTTCCTTATAGGTTGTTTGTAGTTTCAAATTAAAACAGCAATTTTAGATGTGTTGGCTGTTTGAATGTAGCCATATTGTACGTAAAGAGTATGCTACCGTGCTATACAAGAGTCATATAACAGGTTGATCATTATAATCGAAATTCCATCCGTTTAGAAAAGAACAACGTTGGTATTGTATTAGCCTGAGAAATTATTTTAGTCCAAAATCTAATTGAGAAGTTTATAAACAAATTGTGGAGGTATTAAATGATGAAAATATTTTGTATGGTTTCAAAAATCTATATTGGCAAATTAGCAATCTAGGAGGTTTGTTAGTTGCCTTTATTTGCTGATTTTCAATTGATTGTCCATACAAATCCATAAAAAAACAAAGAAATTTTGTTCACATAATTTGAATTATTTATTAAACTATTTTTATTGGCAAGAAGCATTGTCCGTAAAACTTACATAGATCTTAAAAAATCCTTGGTAAACCAACTGATATTCACTGGACTAAGTAAAAAATAAGAGGATAAAAAATAAAGGAATACCAACAAACAAATGAAGCTATTAATAGCGCAGCAATTAAAATCCAACCTAAGCTCCTTGTGAATGCTCTGTGTTGAATAGCAAAGTAGTATTATTTCAGTATTCAAAATAGTTATTGAAATCGCAGTTACGAAACTATGATAATAAGAACTAGGTAGGAATGCTAATTAGCACTCTTGACCTACCTCAATGAGAAACAAACACTTTATTGCCACTAATGCTCATTATATAACTACTTCAATACACAGTGGGAATACCAGTCTCATTGTACCATTCTCATATTGTTTTCCTTAATCTTATCAGGTTTGCAAGCTTTTGAACCATTAAATTAACAGGTCTATTATTCGCTGACAGTTAAAAGCATTGAAAATTTCAATTAACAGGATAAAACTTGGGTTCAATTTATTTATACTAACGTGTTTAGAGCAATACAGACGGAAAACTTGTATTTTTAGATGAAAAAATTGTTGAGGAATGTAAAATCCTAACCACGTAATTCCACGTAAGTTTTAAATTTAAACTTATTTTAACAAGATTTCCAAAAAAGTAATTGCTATATTATATCATGGATTAAATGGTTTTATTTTCCTCCAGTTTGAACTAATTATTCTCATACTTTTATCTGAGTAATATGTGAACAGGATTAAGCCCACCTCAGAAAAAGCACTACTACAATTATTACTCTTTGGTCAATGTTTAATAAGCTTTACCACTTAATACATGTTCTTTGATGTCTTGGATGAGAATGGTAATAACGTCGTTTACCCTCCAACATGCATTACTGTATTTTTCTGTGTTGCATTCTAATTGTGTGAAGTTTAACAATAGTTTTTATCTTGGTTTTATTTGTTTTCAAGCCTGCTATTCAAAATTATCTTACGTATTAACGAAATATTTACATACACACTACAATCATCAACCCCACCCACGTGACCAGACAGGTTGGAAACTAGAGTACAAGTGGATTATTTGGGGGAATGTAACGGATGGTGTTTCCAGATCGTGTTTCAAATCCTAATCATCCATAGACATACTTAGACAGACGTATAAGCTGTAGAATCGACTGTACATTTGAGGATGTAGTGTGCTGTTGATAATAGACTCCAAGGGTAATTATTTTACCAAAGGAGGGACTCCATTATTGCCGGTTTAGAATTAAATGGACTCATTTAATCACCAGCCTTTTGCAATACTAGTATTTTAATGGGACCAGTGTCTTAGCCACTGTTTTATGGTATTTTTAGCGTACCTAGAAAAATATGTTATAAAAAGACCAAATCTTATAACAATTTCTTTGAACTAAATATACATTTGTTAGTTTGAACCAAAAGTACATTTTCGGGAATATATTGACAAAGTAGATTGCAAGTTTTACTAAAACTATAAAGCCTACCTTGTTGTCTCATTTGGAACTATTTGCTTTTTTATATTACTTTACAAATTTTGAAATATTGAATTGTAAAATAAGAGATTTTGATTCAAGCAGTTGACTTTTAGTAGGGCCTCGAGAAGGTATCCTCGATTTTGAAAGATTAAGACAGAATCCGCCATAAAGCATTTTTCTATTGCTTTAAATTCAATCTTGAGCTAACATTTTGTCTTGCCACGTTAACAAAGTTGCTTCTTTTAATTCTGTAAACTGGATAAGAATATCGGGTACGATGATGTGTAAATGATGAACCTGCATATTAGTAGATGATATAAACTTTATATTTAGGTATTGGTTATTAAAAATCAAACAGCTTGGAACTGGAAGTTTAAAGTATTGGGAAATTGTTCTGGAATGAGAATAGTATGTCAATTACGCTTAGCGCCGAAAGTCCGCTTTAGGTCAGCAAATACCTTACAAATTTGTCTAATCGAGTGACCTAGTGTTTTGCAACGGTTGCAGAATGCTTACCAGTCACAAATCTACACCGAATGAAAGTAATATAGTACACACCCAACTAATCTTAGTGTGTTAAATCTTTAGTATAATATAAGTGTAATACAGAAACAATCCTCAATAACTATAATATGTATTTTTAGTTCGAACAACATTGCTCGTAAGAGCACCTGGCGAAAAAAATGTGCAAGATGTAACTGTACTTGATCTCAGGAAAAAAAACTCAACAAAAATTTAATTCATACAGTTGATGCTAGATATTTTCAATATTTATTTGAAATAAAAAGAGAAAAGTTAAAAACGCTGTAATTTTATTTACACTTACGTTCACTGTAAACATTTATTCGAGAGTTTAAGGATACCTGGAAGAGTTCACCTGTCTCATTTGTCTAGGGTTTACATAGGTACTTCTTTAAATATAAAATATTGATACGGAAAGTAAATAAAGATATTTCTTATAACACTTCAAACATATATTTACGCTTATACTGTTAATCACAAGACAGTAAATATACAAAAGAAGGTAAGTGGTGATCGATTTCGATTGGACACTCCAATCATCATCAGACCCGATAGGCGAATAGGAAGATAGATTCGCCTATTGGGTCTGTTGATGATTGGAGTGTCCAATCGAAATCGATCACCACTTAACATCTTTTGTATATTTACCGTCTTGTGAATAACAGTATAAGCGTAAATATATGTTTGAAGTGTTGTAAGACGTATCTTTATTTACTTTCCGTAAATTTAATAACACGTACAATGCTGATCAAGAAGTTATTTAAAATATGGATCTGAACTATTTTCTGTTTATTGACTTTAAGAACTGATGTTTCTTATCGCCATCCTAAGTCGAGGTGTAGAAATATTTTTCAGCAAAATAAAATTACAGTAGGCTACTAACATTATGTTAGTTAGTGCCTGCTAGTCCTGTCACATACTACGAGGCCTTACTTCCTAGATCAGTACAGTACTATTTCACAAACACGTTTATGTATATCAAATACCGATAAAACATGTTACAGGCGTGTTTTACTCATATTTTTAATTTTTTTAACTACTACTTTTTTTAAGATGTACCTGTTCTACACAACGGGGATAAAAATCAGTTTCATAATCATAGAAATGTCCCTCATTTTCTCATGCTTCTATGGAGACCAATTAATAATTCATTTGAAAAAACCTGAAAACTGTGGACATCCAAGGGGCGTAGCCAAGCGGAGTAACTCAGGGAAATGAATAGTTTATTTTAAGAATAAAGTTTGCAGTCACACTTATACAACAACCTCATCGGTATAATCAGTATTATGTTAAAAAATGTTGAACGTTTCTCCAGATGAATTAAACTAAGAACGCTATAAGGAAAACATTGGCTTTTAAATTTAGTTAATACAGGTTTAAAACAAATATTGTGTCAGGTAAAATCACGCGGCCATAAAATTGCAAAAAAGCGAGAATTTGTGTAAACCGGTTGCTAAAACGGCAAAACCACAGGATAACCGGACTAACTGGATTCCAAACGACCGATAGTGCGGGGAAAATAAAATTGCAAGGCCGAAAGTGCATTAGGCCTAAATAACATTTTGTGAATTCTTGATTGATGTGGCTCAACAGGAAAATCGGCAGAATATATTTAGAATGTTTCTTAAACGTTACTAAATATTCAGCCATTTATCTTTACAAATGTGTGTAACAAAGTAAAAGATCATGTTCATCATGTTCGTTTTTAGATTGTTCCACTCTAATCTTTATAATAGTGAACCTTTTAATAACGAATTGGTGAAAAATTTAGATTTAGGACAGCAAAATGTGAAATCTTCTTGTCCGTGATGTTTCAGTCCAGAGAGCTGGAACCCTGATCTGAGGCTGTTTTAGGACTTTGTCCTCTTCAGCCAGGGAAAGGATCGCAGCTGCGGCAGAGACGTGAATATTAACGAAAAAGTGTAATAACAAACTAAAATTCTGCCGCAGCCACTGGTATGAAAGATTGTATAGGTATAGATTTCTTGCAGAAACATTGAGTGTGAGTAACGAGAAAAACCCCAGCGGTTCATGAACAAGTTTAACAAGTTGAAACTGACGTTTACGACTTTTAAGGGTAGGCCTACTTACCCTTGTACCACTTACATAATGAAAATAATTAGCATGGTAAACAGATGGTAGAGGTTACTCACCGAACCATGAGGCCTGGCTGTCATTCATCGACAACGCCGCCGGGGAGTTCCGTAGTGCGGCGATGACTATGGTAGGGAGGGAGACCATCATGCCTAGAGCCAGCAGGAGTAGACTCTGAGCAAGCGTGGCGAGAACCTACAGAGCAAGATCAGGTTTAGTGATTATGTAGGTAGATCAATTACAGATTCAATAATACGAGTTACAGAGTGAGACAGTGATAAAAATTAAAACTAAGTGAGTATGAGTCGAAGAGGACTCAATCCTACAGGTCTGGGGCTCAAATCTATCAGCCAAGGGGGATTACGTATTCGTTTCAAATCCATGGCAACCCTTAAGTCTCCAATTTCCGTAATCCTCGAGGGGCCCCTTATCAAGCCTTTGATGCCCACATTTAAATACCCGACAATCAAGTGGTCTAGTCGTCAGTCAGCGAGCCATAAAATCCAATTATGGCTGGTAATTATTTCTGGTTCAGTATGAAGAGCATAAATTTATGACCTAGGTATCTTTGTTGAGTTTAGTATTAAAACGGCTTTTTAAATATAGGTAATCAAAGACCCTAGGTTTTGGTGGATCCATAAATAAAACTGTATTAATGCATTTAGTGTTCAAAGCATAAAATTTAATAAACATAATACACGGTCGTACATGGATTCAACCATTATGTGCTCAGCATTGTACGTATATGGTAGTAGTATATGGTAGTAGTAAATGGTAGTAGTATATGGTAGTAGTAAATGGTAGTAGTAAATGGTAGTAGTAAATGGCAGTAGTATATGGTAGTAGTATATGGTAGTAGTATATGGTAGTAGTATATGGTAGTAGTATATGGTAGTAGTATATGGAAGTAGTACATGGTAGCAGTACATGGAAGTAGTATAGGGTAGTAGTATTTATATGGTAGTAGTATATGGTAGTAGTACATGGTAGTAGTACATGGTAGTAGTATATGGTAGTAGTATTTATATGGTAGTAGTATATGGTAGTAGTAGCCTATATGGTAGTAGTACATGGTAGTAGTATATGGTAGTAGTACATGGTAGTAGTATATAGTAGAAGTATATGGTAGCAGTATATGGTAGTAGTATATGGTAGCAGTATATGGTAGTAGTACATGGTAGTAGTATATAGTAGAAGTATATGGTAGTAGTATATGTATATTCAATGATTAAACCACTCCGAACTATCGGCAGACCCGGATGTCTAACAAGTTACCGTGTTTGGGACTTTTTACAATATATAAATAAACGTTACCAACTTAACGTTAATATACGTAAGTCTTTAAGCAATAACTGTTTTATTTTGTTTACTACAAACAACCTTTAAAATAAAATAAAATCATTATACGGTAAGAATAGTGCAAAAAATATATATGAAGAAAAAAAAAGAAATTCCATAAAGTGAGGTTAGACAACAGATAATCTTTTGAAAAACAACGCCAAACTCGAATATCGGGTTTTCTGAGCAACAAGTCAGGAGAATTGCCAAACAGGCTTTGATAGACTGTCTTTGTGTTGTTTACTTACTTTTCTCCGTTTCACCAGTAAACAATTTCACGGTCGGCAGGATAAAAAAAATTCAACACGATTTTATCTAAACATAAAAAGAATTCCGTAAAATTTAAAAATAATTTGGAAGAGTATAAAAAATTAAATTAAACATTTTTCATCAACATAAATCACCATAGTCACCATTGTTAAAGCACCTCCCACTTCGTGATTTATGATGTTGTTTGGATCAAACTAGGGATTTATTTAAAATACTTCACACGACACTAAACAAACGAAAACAATCTACATGCTAATGCTTAACTAGGTGAATAGACTGTGAACATAATAATGGCAATGAAGGAAATTCAATGACAATTCTGAGATTTTTATGTTGATACCATTTATACATCCATAATAATTAATTATGATTCAGATGGTGGACTGTTTGTGAATCTAATTATACTTTCATGAGTTGTCATTGCCGGAAAGGAGGAAACGCGACATGAAATGAAAACTGCGTTAGTTAATGTTCAGCGTATGGTTGTTGTCAACATTTAAAATACTACAACAATTATAATTTTGATGTGGTTGGCACTGTTTGGTGTATACTGAGTTTAATTAACACTTTATGTCCAGCCCCCTCCCACAAATGGTTTCTAAAGAGAGAAATTGAAGAAAACTGTCACTTAATAACAATGTAAATAATTGGTTGATGAAGAAATTTGTGGATTGTATAGTAATGAAACAAAAATAAAAGATATGGGATCTTGTTACACAAATACAATGATAGGATTGACAAAAAACATTCTTTGCATCACTTAAAAGTCAAATGGGGAAACTACTTAGTTTTGTTACAGTTTTTTTCTCATTCCAAGAGCGATTTTAACATACAAACACATTAAATAAAACTTAAGAAACAAACAGGTCACCTATTGCTGTGAGTTATCACAGCGACAGCTAAGGTATTATTAATTACAACAAAACATAATTAGATAGTTCTTCAACATTGACGTAACATAAACAAACAATTTGTTTTTATTTCCATACAAAGACATTCCAATGTCACTGATAGAAGTGACGTTTGTTTACTATGATACAAAGCATCCAAGGTCAAACAACGAAACTTTAAATGTCAAACAACTGATGGAGTTGAAAGATTAATTAGAGAAAATAATTTTGTCGCAATGAAACACGAAAATGTGATTAAAATTTAGTAAAATTGAAAATGTGTGGTAATTATAATTAATTTATTTAATTGTTGTAAGGATACTACAGTAAGTATTTGCTTTAATTGTGGCGTCAAAACGGCAAGACTCGACTAACTAATTAAATTGACATCTTGAAGTAGATACAACTCTATAGACACTCTAACCCAATACTTAGCAGAAACAATGAAACGAAGATGAAACGTAGGTATAAGTTAAAAGGCTGCACCACAAACATTACAAATTCGTTTCCAATTTACCTGGACCTGGGCCAAAGTGCCCTTATACGGGCTCTGTTTCCAGTATCGGATAGCTGCTTTTAGAATGCCAGTATATACTTCAAATAATCGTTTAAAGTTTGACTCAATACAGTTGTATGTAAATTAAAACAAGAGAAATCTATTGGAGATGGGAAAGGGTTTTACAATTCCCTATAAATAGTACTATAAATAGTAAATAGTTTATAATCAGTAAACGGAATTCACCAATACTAATCGCGATTTATTCACCCATTCTAGAACTCATAAATTGAAATGAATGGTTTATATAGTCAATAAAAGTTCGTCAAACAATTAATTATTCGTTAGCCATTTTGGGGAGTCACAACCGGTTGGGAATCCGAATTAACAATGAATTGACCTCAGAATGAGTTTGTTCCAAAGATGATCAGGAACTAGTTATTATACGAGTCACTAGGAAAGAATCTCCAAGGTTAATCTGACTCAAGAATTGCTGACCTTGAATCACAGTCACTGTTGTCATCTTAGGCCGATCTCTTACGGATTATTTTACGAGTTTTGCGATTATCGTTTTCTTTACCTCACTGTTTAATTATTTCGATAAAATAGTCTTAGCTTTGGAAATAGTGCTCGAGAAGCTTTGTAGTTTTTAGATTTTTTACGATTTGTACTAAAAAAAGAGACTTCGAAATGGCTAGGTACAGTAGATAAGCTAGAAAATTACAGTGTTTTTGAATGGGTTACTATTTTTAACCCGACTAGCTTACTAGTTAAGTATTTTTAGGGAATATATTTGGCCTATCACTCCCAAAGACTAGTTCCATAAAACCTTTAAACCCTCTTAAAAAGCTGAATAAAACTATATTTTATGAATAAGATATTTTTGTCAAAAGTTGTTTATTGGTTGGTATTATTTTATTTTTACATCTTTCATAACGTTTCACAAAAAATATGACCAGATTTTATAATTGAATTAAAAACAATTTAACTTCATCGCACTTCTATTTTTATAATGCACGTGATGTTTTTGCATTTATAAACGAGGAAACTGTCTTTGAAGTCTTAACTTACCTGGTCAGACGGGTTGCAAAAACTTCACATCGCTTTTATAGACTATATTTTATCCTCGTTTTATTTATCTTCGTACACATTCACGTGTTGAAGTTATGTAAACAACAACAAAAAACGTGCCGTGAAACGAGTCTGAGGGAAAAGGCTAAGCAATGCAAAGTTTTACAGGATATTCTGCGAGTATTTGGAAGATATCGAAAGTATTATTTTTTTTGCTGTAGGAAAAAACACTTTTGATCATCCAAATTATTGATATTTAAGGCAGAAATTCGTGGTTTGCTTTTTTAAAGTTAACTCAAATTATTAGCAGTTCTTCTTACTTTGGGTTTTTAGTCGACACCACACATTTTTCATTGTTGAACATACAAAATGTATTTCTAGCGTGTTAAACCTTGCAAGTGTTAACGTGATTTGGATTGCCTTATTGTAGGCTTAATGTCCCTGTCATCCTGTTGATTGTATAAATGCTTAAACTAAATAAGGTTTTCATATTATTTACTGGTTTACACCGTAAATAATTGTATTGTATTGCACCGTTAGTTGTATTGAGTTTAAAACCCGTGTTATAAAGTTTAACATTTACAAAGTAGTCTCAATGAGTTCACATTCTGTTTAAACCAGTTAAAAAGGTTGTTAAACTCCGTGTAACAGAATAGTAAAACGTCATATACAGGGTGGTAATAAAGTCCGAAGACAGTTAAATATTTAAAAAAAATGTAGACATAGCTACAATACTTGGTATTAAGTTAGAGCATAAAACTGTATTTTAACACATATTCAGTGATTCAATAACTCTTCAGGGGGACGGCCTACAAGGAGTCGGAAGAAAATCTTAAATAGAAGCATAGGTCAATATGAAAAGGTCTTTTTTAGCAGAAAACAATGCCGCAAACCGCACTTCAAAAGGTTGATCCTGCGCAAAATGGCAGCCGTTCAAAGATTTCTTGAATCTGCCATTTTGAATCTTTGAACGACTGCCATTTTTTTACTCAGGTGTTCTTTTGAGCTTGAATTTACGGCATTGTAATCTACTAGTGAAGACCTTTAATTTGATGTGCATATCGACCTATGCTTACGTTAACAATTTTCTTCCGATTCCCAGGGCTGTGCCCCCTGTGGAGTAAGCGTATAATAGCAATGCAAATTAAATGAATCTTTAAACAACTGTCATTCTTGGCTCGGTCGTCCGTTTGAGTTCAAATTTGCGGCATTATATTCTGCTAGTAGAGACCTTTAATTTGATGTGCATATGCTTCTATTTACGATTTCTTTCTGACCCCTTGCTGAACGTCCCCATGATAAGACAGCAAACTGATATTTCCTAAAAAATTAGATTTTTAGGTGTGGTGTTGATGTACAAAATCTTATTGATTTATGTTCTGTCGTTTAGAAAATATTTAACTATCTTCGGACTTCATTACCACCCTGTATAAATAATCAAATAAAGTAGTATGTTCCAGGGTGGTAAATTGATGTAAGAGGTAATAACATATTTTTTTGACGTATGTTTACAATCTAGGATATTCAAAATATATAATAAGACAAGAAATATTTTATAGCACTTGATGTTACTTTTACATAATGTGGGTAGGTGAACTCTCCATAGTTTGTACAGGATTAAAAGACGCATTTTTGTTGTTAAATTTAAAACAAAGCCAATCTTTTAAAACAAATCGAGCTATGTTTTCTATCAACAAATCAAACAAGTACAATAATTACAATGTCAACAAATATAAATGAATCAAAAGAACATTGAAGTTATTTAAATCTACTAATCTTTGATGATCTAAGCCTAAGAGAGTGTGGTAGCAGAGTGTTCGTGCTAAGCCGTTATCATCGCAAGCCCTGCTGTTATCACTAATGCACAGATTAGCGAGGGTCCAGCTAATGTTGGTAGTCTTGATTATACCTCAGCAGCTACTTCCCGCCCAATAGAACCTACATTCATTAGACTTAACAACAGTGGTTGGAGATTCGTTTAATCTCTCAATTACTACTGCAGTTTTACTAAAAATCCACTTACAAACAAAAAACCAAGATTACCGGCATTATCTCCTAACAATATTACACAGAAGATAATTAATTAGAGTGACAGTGGGATATTTTATTGATAAAAACTTTTACCTACGACCGTTTTTCAAAGTAGCCGTTTCAGTACAGTTCTTAGAATTGAAAAGTATCTCATAACATCATTGTTTACTTTCATAACAGCATAGTTTTACTCATAACAACACGGGTAACGGACCAATGAGGTTCAAGGATTGAGAGAGGAGAAGCAAAATTGTAATGATTCGAAAATCAACTAATCAGCTGTTCAGGCCAATTTAATTGTTGATTAGTGCAATTATTGTGTTTCGTTGCATCACTGTCAGCGAAACGGCACACGGAAGATTTCTCAGGTGCCGTTTGATGTCACTAACTGCTGACGTCACTTTGAGGGAACACCAATACAGCAACGATACGGAGTTGAGCCATCGGCCTCGGTGGTGCAATGGATATCGTTGCGGGCTGATAATCCGAATGTTCCGGGTTCGATTCCCGCCGGCGACACCAACATTTTATCAACAATTTTTTCATATCAGCAAGTTTGGTTGGTTTGGTTAGGTTATTACAGTTTAATTTTATAATTAAAAATTTTAAAATTTGAATTTTAGGCAATTATAATTTTATTTTATGAACAAAACTATTTTTTAGATTAGTAAACCTGTATTTGATTTTTCCAATATCAGCACGTTTGGTTAGGTTATGACAGTTTAATTTAATAATAGAAAATTATAAAATTGTCTGTTTCTTCAGACGCAGGAGTTAGTGACGTCAGCAGTTAGTGACGTCAAACGGCACCTGAGAAATCTTCCGTGTGCCCTACCGTCACTGTCAGTGGCAATGGGAGGTTATAAACGAAAACATAACCTCTTTTAGAAATTATGAATAGTGATTTTTAGTAATTAAAACAATGTCGTAGGTAAAGTAGTGTACGCAACTCGCGTAAATAATGTTAACGACACTCGTAGAAGTCTTTAAGGCACTCGCCAAGGCTCGTACCTTATATTTTCTACTAGTGTCGTTAACACTATCTTTACGCAATCGTTGCGTAAACTACAATACCTTATTAGGTATTTATCTGTTTAAATAACAGCAAGTAATTAATTTCAAATCAAAGAACCAAAATTATGTAACCCATTAAGCCACTAACATACTTAATTCATGGCTTAAGATTCATGAAACACATCAGTAGAGCGACATACACAGACTTGCAGATTTGCAGACTTGTTCGTGTAACACAAAGAAGCAAAACTTTTAGCCTTCGTCGACTTTTTTGATTCAAGCGGCTAAATGAGGAAGCGTTACATTTTAGTTTATACATTTTTAGATGATAATATGCTTGTTTTATCTCACCATCTCACTATGGACCATCTCTATGGTAGTAATAATAGGCCAAGGCATTGTACTCAGTAAATTGTTGTTACTTTTTTTTGTCGTTACAGTCATAGTCTGGTAGTTCAAATTATTCCTTTCCATTTAACCTTATTTTTATCAAAGAATCTTACTAGGCTAGACAACCAGTTTATTAACATAGGTATGCATTATTCGGCTACTTTTTGTCAAATTATCAGACATCCTCAAACCGGATTTAAAGGAAAGTTCAATCAACGATAAAAGTGGCCGAAATCGTTGACAGTCGTCACTTATGAACCAGTTCTGTCAGTTAAGTACAAAAACTAGTAGAACATGTAGAAAGATTACGAAACCCAACAAAATATAACTGACAGGTGGTTGTTTGTTAAGGACAGTTCAACAAATTTTAAAAAGACCTTTCATCTGGGGTATGGTTAAGTTGTTAGTTATTTATGTGATATTCTTCAATAATTTATTCACATGTAAAAAACAATACTACTGTTTTGGCTGATTTCTTTTTTTAGAAGTCTTCACATTCTGTCTATATCTTAGATGTTTATTTTACTTTGGGATTTTTATGTATTATATGTACAAAATAAAAATATTCCAAGCTATCGTCAATAAGCCATCTTTCCGGAGAAATTACCAATTTCAATAATGTAAATTATTCTTTTACCTTGTTAGTTTAGTTACGTATATTTTCTAAGTACATTTTAAACAGGTAGGCTGGAGAAATTAAAGGAACATCTATACCGGATACCACATGATTATTAATTTAAATTTTATTCTTGGTAAATCCAAATGTATTTATTTTGGTCAATGAGTAAATTGTATTCATAATGAAATATGTAAAAATGCTTTCGAAAATAAAACAATACAAATCAATTATACTGGGTGTCCCAGAAAGGAATGCACTTTTATTTTGGAGAAAGCCGAATGTCCAAAAGAGATAATATAAATAGCTTATCAGGGCTTTGTAGCTATGCCCGTGGAAAATCATTTGCCATGGGTCGCTTTACCGGTGAGCAGCGTGCTTTCTGTGTAAGCGACTATTACCAAATGCTTTCTTATGTGACAATTCAACGACACTTCCGTGCTTAATACAGACTTCATGATCTTAACCAAATGCCATCAGTAAAAATAATTAAATTCAGGGTGCGCCAATTTGAAGCTAAATGATCAACTATGAACCCTCGTCCCATCGGTCGCCATAGATAAGTGCATTCTGAACAAAATATTGAACGTATTAAAAAATGTGGGTGTATTTCTTTGAGGATAACCAAGGGAACACTGTAACAAGAAATTCCCAGCGATACATAACAATGATTAATGATCATTTACAGCCGTTCTTGCAAACTTACCTCGGGCTAACAGGCAAATATTGTGGTTTCAACAGGACGGAGCTATGTGTCATATAGCAGGAGATTCCATGACTGCAATAACGCAGCTGTTTCGTGGGAAAGTCATTTCCAGATTTGTTGATATCAACTTTCCTCCAAGAAGCCTAGACCTAACTCCACTAGACTTTTTTTGTGAGGGTATCTAAAATAAAAAGTCGGGTGTATAACAACGCTCCTGCTACCCAACATCATCTGAAGCAAAATATTCGTGAGGAAATTGATGCCATCCCACCAGAACTCTGCTATTGAGTCTTCGCAAATGTAAAATTTTGTTTGGTGGAGTGCCGGTACCGGAGGGGTCTACATCTGGATGATGTAATCTTTTTACAAGTAATTTCCCTGAAGTGTACAAAAAGGTATTCTTGCAAAAAATGTTGTAAACAAAGCAATTTTTCTGTTTTCTTTGTTTTAAAAGTGCATTACTTTCTGGGACACCCAGTACAAGAATCAGACCACTCATTCTCTAGCACCGAGGAGGCTAACCACTTAATTTCCACAAGACTGATATAAAACTGCATTGTACAAAACTCATATCCAAAACCAGTAGGCTACTTGGTTTATATGCGTTTGAGGCTAACTGTTATTTATGATTGGAAAAATGGGAATATCTCTAAATTCTATGATATTCATAGACCCAAACTCATATGAGAAATGAGTTGACAATGATAATGAAATGAGTTGAAATGGTGAGATGATAATCCAGTCGAGTCTTTGAGTATAAAAGTTACGTAACGTAACTACATCGTGTCCTCTGTAAAACCCCTAATTGAGACCTCTCTTAAGGGGGCGTGTCCCCAGGACCCTAACCATGCCAAGGGGGCGGATTACCTGAGGCAAGGCCATCCTGAAGCGGCTGACCCTCCAGATGTCTGGGTCTGGGCTGAGTATGTCGCTCTCTCTCACTCCACTGGGTCCATCACCCACCGAACTTGACCCACTCGACCTGTAAACAGAGGGTACTAGTTACTAAATGAACTATTTAATTTTTATTGTTTTCATATAGTTGAGGTTTTTAAGGGAATTGTCCAAACCCTGCTCTACTTACTACTTATCGTCAAAATTTTGTTAGATAGCATCATTAATAGATACAGGAGGGGTGAATGGTGAAATTTTCGGAAAACACATGAAAGGGTTTTTTAGAAAATTTAATTCCTGGCCATAAAAGTTCTGTAAAATATTTGCTAGCTCTTAGCGTTTTTGAGTTATAGCCGTTTAAAAAACGTGTTTTGTCGTTTTCCGATGTGCGCCATTTTGAGTTTTTAAGGGGGGTTAAAATTTGGAAATGTTACTTTTGAAAATTTTACCGTTAATTTGGAATCAGATAACACAATGATACAAAATTTCATGTCCCTAGCACGTTTCTAAACGAATCAGTTGAGCATACCAAAGTCTATAAATTTCATAGCTATTCTCCATAAGAATAACATGGGGCCTTGCTATAGCAGTAAAACCTTAAAATGTTTGACATTAAACCTAAGTTATAGGTTTAATATAATAATAACTGTAATTATAACTGTAATAACAATAACTGTAGTTATTATTGACGACTGAGATGTATAATTGTAAAAAATTGTACCTATTCAGAAAATAAATGACTTATGACTTAAGTTTTGGGGGTCAAGGAGTAAAGTTACGAAAAAACATGTGAGTAAAATTTAAAGTAAACGAAGGAGGATACAAAGCATTAATAATATTTGCAAAAAAGAATTATTTAGGTTTAAAAAATTGCGAAAACGATTACAAATTTGAAAGAAATTTATCAAATTTTGAAAGTGGGGCGTTTTTTGAAGGTGAAGGAGTGCGATTTTCAAAAAACGCATAATAGTGTCTTGTAAAAAATTTAATTCCGAAACTACAATTTTCCCTCAAATCTTTTCTAGCTCTTACCGTTTTAGAGCTACAGCCGTTAGTAAACACAGGACTGACGTTCATTTAAAATTAAACACATTTATTGATGAACGTTTGGTGAACACCACCACTAGGAATATTTGATAACGACTTGACGTTCCTCTGACCTGATGATGTACTCCATCCGAAGCACGAAACGGCTGTAGTCCTAGCAAATTAAAAATGATCCTTTTGAACAGTAACAAGGTAATATAACCGAAGCATGAAACGGCTGTAGTCCTAGCAAATTAAAAATGATCCTTTTGAGCAGTATAAAGGTAATATAAATCACTATCGTTAAACTAACTGCTGATAAACATTGTTATTTTAGTGTTTCTATGTAAAATGTGGGTAGGTGTATTTGACAAAAATCTGTAATTGACCTATGCGCTATATGTAGGTTGTTCAATTTCAACTAAATTCACTGTTTTCGTAATCTGCTTCCTCTAGTATGGTAACTGAACAAATAGTTCAATCGATGGACAAATAGGTTATTTATATTAATATAGTATGCATTGCGTAGGCTTTATAATGGGTTATAGTAATTAGTCGAAGCTCTATGTTACATTGGCCAGAATATAAATTTCAGTTAATATATAATTTGGACAAAAAAAAACATACAAAATTATACAGACTCCGGTTCAAGATACTATTATTTTTAAGGAAAGTATAGTCTGATTTCTGATCTTCATTAAAGAATAACTGAATTTGTATGTTTTTCATTCACTAATGTGGTTTACTAAAAATCGGTTACCGAAAGTTTCACAGTAATAACAAAACATCTCACAAAAGCATTTAAACAAAATAAACCAAATAATTGTAATTCAGAAAAAGTAACTTTTATCACAAAAAATATAGCTAACTATAACCATAAGGTCTAACTATAACCAAAATAATTAAATATACACTGCTATAACTTACAATAAAATAATAATGTAAAGTGAGTTTTTAATATATTCAAAAACAGAAAATTTTTATTACATCATAACATTACAAAGATTTAATGACATTAAAGTAGATTTTATTTTCCAAAATCTTATCCAACTGAAGTAATGGAATAATTGCAAGTTTTTGAATTGCAAAGTTCCATCAGTACGGACGTTTTCTTACTATAATAATATCTATCTTTAATTCATTTAGCATAACCGACCCCGTTCCGGTACAACAAAACCTCCGTTCTAATTGACAAGTTACCAACGTTAGGACAGACATGTTTATACCTTGTATAGGCAATGCGTGCGAATTTGACAGCTGATAACTCAACGAGATTGTAAATATGTTGCCGGACCGCTTATATGGTCGTAAAAGAAAACGAGTAGCTGGTAAAACGTCATAATTACCATATGATTCACTGGCAGGTTTAAGGGTGTCACCCGATCAAACAAATATTCAACAATTTCAAAGTAAAAAGAATAGTCTATACATTTAGGATATAGTTATATAACTGTTGGATATAGTAGTCTTTCGTTAACGATTACTAATAAAAAATTGGAAAGTTTCAATAATTAAAGTTTTCTTGGATACAAGACATTTTGGAAATTCATTAAGTTAAGCTTTGGATGGAGAAACTTAATAACACAATAATATTAGTCAGGTCCTTTTGAACCTTTTAATTGTAAATGAAATTTATAATTCACACCCTAAAGGTTTGCAAAGTGGTATTAAAAAAAAAAATAAATAGGCCTAACATAAGCTCATAGCTTTCATTAAACAACACATAAGCCAATGAACCAGGCACATTAAAAATGATGACATTTATAGACAATTCACATATTCATACTTTAATACTTTTCTTATTAAATGACAACCATACGAAGTAGGTATTTTAAGCCATGTATGAATGGAGATGAGTGTAGGATGAGTGGCGCGATCTTGTAGTCTTGTTAGTGACTAAGGCCCACATTCCTTAGACACAGCTCTCAATTAACAGCCCATACAGCTAATGGCAACTAAGGGACCTACAGTTTATAGTGGAATCCGAACCACATAAACTTGCAACAAATAATCCCCAAAATTTTAATGTATTTTGCATAGAGTTGCTTATTGTTAATAAACCACTTAAAACCTAATTACCACACTATGAGGCCAATTAAAACTTCAAATAGTTCCACATCGTGACAATTTTGAAAATATTTGGTCACTAAACAATGAGAAAACATAAAACTCTCCCAAGCTTAAAGCCTGTAATCTTATCTTCTTTTACCAGTATCTTTTTGAAAACAAAGCTTTCCTTTAACAATACAATCAGTAGTTTCTGATATGTAGTCTTAAACCTTATTGCATTATGAGTCACTATAGCCATCCACTATCCACCACTATCCATCCATGTAAACAAGACTTATCAGCATGTCCCGTTACTATTTCTTGTACTCTGGATTTAGGCCACCATAAGCAAATGTTTGATTTCAAACCTTATATGACTGAGAACTATCTAGAACATACATAGTACAGACCTAGTTAATACTATCCAATATTTTGCAATTATTGCAAAATTTTGCAGTAATAATTGCAGTAGTGTAGAAGCATGTTTTGCAATATTTCTCTAGCTCTAGGCATATATTGTTGTAAATAGTTGTAACGCTTTTGATTAATAATAATAATGGCAAACATAAATACAAATTAATACCGTTAGGCTTATTTATTTAAAGAGAGAATTTCATACTAATTTTGCAACAATATAAAAAAAAAATTATGCATTTATCCAAATCCAAATATCATAGTTCATTTTCGTTGAAATAAATGAACGTTATAGAGCAAAGCGTGTTTGGCATACTTTTACTATATCTAGAGTAAACAAATATCTCACGAAACCGTACGGCACCGGAGTACAATAAAACCTGAACCACGTGGAGCCTGACCTCCGTAGTGTTTGGTTACATAACAAGGAGTCCCACAAGGTGCTACTCTTGGGCCCGTAATATTCCAATAAAAACCTACCTCAATGTGTACTTTCTTGTTGAATTGTTTACTAATAGACATTTACTGTGACTGCAGCTAATTGAATATTGCTGTAAACTAAAAGAGGTTGTATATGTAAATACTTAAAAAAAAATATTTAAATGTTTATTAGGAGGGTTAATGAATTCTTGTTTGATATCACTAACCTGTCAGCCATCTCCGCCATGCCTACTCACTGACCCTACGACGGGTCGATCTTCCCGAGTTATGTAACGTTATATAACTATCTCGGCCGGGTGTGACCTGCGTCCGGCGTGTCGGCGGAACGAACAACAACTGAGCCACCGAGCGACTCCGAGAGTCTTCAGGCTTCTGGTAGCGTCCCCACCATCAGGGCGACGTAGGGATAAAATGATGAATGGAGACGGAAACGACCGCGGAATGTGAATAGGAGATGTCTTACTCTTCGATAATATTTACTCTTGTGAAGGAGGTAGTCAATTAGCTTACATAAAGGACAACGATAAGTATGTTATGTCATTATTGTTGTGATTCCGATATGGGGAACATATTGGAATCAGGATTTTGCGTTAGTATTACAAATAAAAGAATTATTAAACTTTTAATAACCCGTGCAAAAATATTTTTGCTTTATAAACTGAACTTCAGCAACCAATTGTTGTACTTGAGATTATTATTCGTGTAATTTATGAATAAATAATAGAAACTGTTTGGAAGAGTTTGTATTAGCTGGTATAAGCTAATTTCAATGAAAACAAGTTTGTTAAATTGTTTTTACTTTTAATTTTGAGCTTGATTTTTTGTTATACATAATGAAGCGCTTGGAAAAATGTTTTCTTTTTTTACAGTATTTTTTGTCTTATTTTTTGTGCATCAACTATAGTGGAATTATTTAGGTTTTTTTTTAAGAGAGACTGTTCTAACCAAGGTCTTGATAACGTCAAAATCTCGTTGGAAGTTGCACATCTACTAACAATTGTTAAAGTGAATAAACTTGCAACAGATAATCCCCAAATGTAAATGTATTTTGTATATATAACTTATTGTGCTATTTCCTAAAATTAAAGTTTAAACTAAACGAAACCAACTACACTTTAACCCTAACACCAATTAGGTTAAACTTTTAAGTGATTACTTCGATGCGTCTTTCTTATGTATTTCATGCATAATGTAAATGCACTAGTCTATGCATATAAGTGTTGAAAAATAATGCGTTGCTAATTTATTTCTATAATATATAAAGTTTATTGTAGTTTGCAAAAATAAACAGGGAAACATATGAATGAAATGGATTGATAACCTCAAGTTATAGTTTTTATCTAAGATCTAATTATATCTTTGATTGCCTAATGAAATCTTAGGCGGTAGTTACATTGTTATAAGAAATGGATAACCAAACATCAGAATTGATAAAACTCTTAGTGCAAAAAATACATATCTTTGACCTTAGACCTTTATTCAGGGATATCAAGAATTGAAATTACAGTGTTCAGGATTTAAAATTTGTATTAAGTATCTCGTTTGATGAATTAATCATATTTTTATCAACTGGTGTACAACTGTTGCAATGGACCCAGGAGTATGAGATCCAATGTATTTAAAAATGTTTTTATTTGAAAGCCAAGCCAAGGAAAAATTATATATTTATCTTGATTAATATTCGGGTACTGTCCAAATGCATACATTAATATTATTTATATACATATCTATATATCAGGGTGGCAAAAACGTTCCAGAACAGTTTAATAAAAAAATAAAGATAAAGCATAAAACATGTTCTGAGCCTAAAAACCATTTAAAAATAATATGTAGTAATACGCTCCTGAAAGGGCTGCCTGCTAGGAGTTAGAAGAAAAGCTAAAATGTAAGTTTACATTGATGTGCACATTAGATATAAGGTGTTTGTTATTGAAATGCAATGCAATGCTATTCAAGTAATCATTTTATCAGTACAGTTACTGTACAGTACACTTATTAGTTTTTACTGTACCGGATCACCCCTTGCTTTGCTGGATACTTTCCACGCACGGGCAGTTAGTCTATGTGGACGGGCAAGTGCAAGGTTAAAAGAGACCGCTAACCTCTTAAAAAAAACAATAAAAGCTTAATAATGTGTTAAAATGATGTTTTTGCCAAGTTTTGTAGCTTTATCTGTATAATATTTGTAATCGTCCCGGGACTTATTTTTCACTATGTATATACAAGGGTGTCCCCGAACTCTCTACTGACCTGTTATGACTGGTATCGCGATAAAAAAATGATATCTTTTTTCGAAACAGGTCCTCGCGATTTAATCTATATTCAAAATATAAATAAACTATAAAAAACCGTTGACCAATTACAAACGATTTTGAAAAAACTAAATGGTGGTTATACGGGTAAGTCTTGAGTTTTGGAAATTGTTAATATGATATTTTAGTTTGTATTTGGCCTAGGAATGATACCTTAAAAGGTCGTAAATAAGATGCTTACTGTAATAATATATAATTAGTTTATTACAATTATGCCAAAATAAATAAAGATAATATGCATTCTCTTCACCTTAAAGATTTAAAAATATTGAGCCATAAGCTGCCTTCTAGAATCGAAACCAGTATCAGTAATGTTTTCCCCAAAACCTCAATGTATGAATTATTTCTGGCAAAAAAAAATACATCTTTGTACAAATGAGTATTAGTCCAGTAAATCTGTCAGAAAATATGGGGTTGCTGTGCAAAAGGTCGGGTAGTTCTGATTTTTGGATATGTTGTTAGTATTGGGCCCATAACATAAAATCCAAGTTATCCACCTCGAGATGCTGCCGCTCGCCGCGGGGCGCGCCACTTGTTATCGAAATATAAAAAATATGGCAATTCCTATTGTTTTTCACTCAATCTCGCGAACCGCTCATTTTACCGAAAATTTTATATCATTACATTAAAGAAGAATAAATTTGTGACAGTTTAAGCCCAACAGCAAGTATGTAGCGTAAATAATGGTCAAAATACAGACCATCAAAATAAATATATTTTCCAAAGACCGATAAAAATTTTGGTTTTTTCAATATTTCCACAATATAGTTGTTTGAAGCAAACACCGTATTGATTTAGAGAGTATGCCAGTTTATTTGCTATTAATAGAAAATAAATGAAAGTATGAATAAAAATACCCCCACCTCAGCAAACCTGCAGACTAAGCGAATTTCCATTTGCTTGATTTGATTTTCACAAACCTATTTAAATAACATTAGGTTTAACTGGTGCCTAGGTTTGCTGCTACAGGGAGGGTAATATAGTATATAAAATAATAATAGTATGATAATAAACAAATAAATTTACCCAATTTTATAAAAATATGTCTATAAATAAGGAAAAAAAAACAATAATTAAAAATCTTCGCTATTGGAATAACTTGAGGTTTTTTAATTTACATTTTTTAATTTTCTCCGTAACCAATAACTGTAAAAAAACATTTTAATGTACTAAATTATTTGTTTTTAAGCTCTACAAAATTATTTAATGATACAATTGTAAAATTGTATGTTTTGAGGGTTAAAAATGAAAAAAAAAATATTCTTACCGGCAAAATACCTATATAGCAACCATACTTGCTTTTGGGCTTAAACTGTCACAAATTTATTCTTCTTTAATGTAATAATATAAAATTTTCGGTAAAATGAGCGGTTCGCGAGATTGAGTGAAAAACAATAGGAATTGCCATATTTTTGATATTTCGATAACAAGTGGCGCGCTCCGCGGCGAGCGGCAGCATCTCGAGGTGGATAACTTGGATTTTATGTTATGGGCCCAATACTAACAACATATCCAAAAATCAGAACTACCCGACCTTTTGCATACCAAAATGTCTTATTTTACTGGACTATATTAAAAACACTCATTGATAATAGTAGCCGCAGACTTAAGTACTCACTCAATTATGTCTATTAAAAAACACACAGAAACTTCAATTCCTATTCATGTAAACGTAGTATGGGTCGGGGGTCAAACTGCTGATGCTTGTCTATTTAAGGGAGAGTACGAGACTTTGAATCCTCGTTTGCTAATCCCAACAATATTGTAAACTATGTGCATCCTAGTGACGGAAAACGGCCGTTGAACGGAGTTTATAGTTGGTCTTGAACTTGGGGTTCGAAGCCTAACCTAAGCAATTGACCGGCTGTTGAGTAAGGTATTTTCATGAAAAGGAAATCTCTAGCAATTCAATTTAATTCAATTCAAAGATACTTTATTCACAGATATACAAAATAAATGTTATGTGTGCTAAATGTTTTATTATTCTTTGCATTTTTCATCACAAGAGTAAGGAATTCCCAAAATTAACTATCCGTAGGACACAAACAAGTTATTTAATATGCCAAAACCCTCGTGGAATCTTTCCTATTTTCCGTTAGATAACATTTCCATTTCATCCATTTGTCCATTTGACCTATTTCATGTTCGTACATTCATATGCGTTTAATCAAATACACGCCGAAAACAATAGACAACTATTTCAGTATAATTTTTTCTACCAAATTAAACTATTAAATTAGCGTTATAAGTCCAACACTAACGTGATTATGACCAAAGAAGGGTAGTTATGTAAGGCCAATTGTGATTGAGGTGAAGGCCACAACGGTGCGTAGACCACCTACAGCAAACCTGCAGCCTACAGTTTATATAACAGGAGTTAACACGTGTGAATGGCACATTCCTTCCGATCACTCTGACAACAGCTTGTCAATAATAGAACTGGGAACTACTAAAGACGAAAGTAAACTTCAGAATCAGAATGCAATTTATTATTTTAGATAGGACCACAATCAGTAGAATTGGAAACCTAACACTGGTATAGAATTAATTTAAAGTAAAAAATGGTTAGTACTAATATAGATAGTATAGTTATCAACATTGTAATCTTTGAGCGTATGTACATTTATTGAGAATTTTATTGTTATAATAGATAATTAATTAGCCGAGTCGTCAATAATTACGTCAAATTTAGTATCCCAAAAGGTTTACATAATAACTCATGTATGCTTTGTAAACTTTATTTTTTATTACACACTTTTAATACACTAGGTAACTTAAAAAAATTATTTTAAATACTATCTAAAGTACTATGCTGAATGCATGAAAGAAGTTCTAATTATTTAATTTTTTACTATTGGTGGTCAAAAATAAATAATTTAATAATTGTGTAAACAAATTTAACTAAATGTGCTGAATATGTGTTTAAGACTTGTATTTTTAAATTACCATTTGAACTTAAAATGAATCACCCTCAGAGCCGGTTTGATAGTTATTATTGCTTGGTTTGTA